AGTGGTTTAATATGCAGCTGTAACATGGAATAGAATGACTGATCATGGTGATGAAATGATGCTGTATGCCTGCAAGGGTTTAATATGCAGCTGTAACATGGAATAGAATGACTGATCATGGTGATGAAATGATGCTGTATGCCTGCAGGGGTTTAATATGCAGCTGTAACATGGAATAGAATGACTGATCATGGTGATGAAATGATGCTGTATGCCTGCAGCGGTTTAATATACAGCTGTAAAAAGGAACAGAATGACTGATCATGGTGATGAAATGATACTGTATGCCTGCAGGGGTTTAATATACAGCTGTAACATGGAATGACTGATCATGGTGATGAAATGATACTGTATGCCTGCAGGGGTTTAATATACAGCTGTAACATGGAATGACTGATCATGGTGATGAGATGATACTGTATGCCTGCAGGGGTTTAATATACAGCTGTAACATGGAACAGAATGACTGATCATGGTGATGAGATGATACTGTATGCCTGCAGGGGTTTAATATACAGCTGTAACATGGAATGAGTGATCATGGTGATGAGACAATGCCTGATGTTTGTCCTCACTCGGCATGTTTGTCCTCACAGGTCATGTTTGTCCTCACAGGTCATGTTTGTCCTCACAGGTCATGTTTGTCCTCACAGGTCATGTTTGTCCTCACAGGCCATGTTTGTCCTCACTGGTCATGTTTGTCCTCACTGGTCAGGTCATGTTTGTCAGCACTGTCATGTTTGTCGTCACTGTCATGTTTTTCCTTACTGGGCATGTTTGTCCTCACTGGTCAGGTCATGTTTGTCCTCACTGGGCATGTTTGTCCTCACTGGTCATGTTTGTCCTCACTGGGCATGTTTGTCCTCACTGGGCATGTTTGTCCTCACTGGTCAGGTCATGTTTGTCCTCACTGTCATGTTTGTCCTCACAGGCCATGTTTGTCGTCACTGGTCATGTTTGTCCTTACTTGTCATGTTTGTCATCACTGTCATGTTTGTCGTCACTGTCATGTTTGTCCTCACTGGTCATGTTTGTCCTCACTGGTCATGTTTGTCGTCACTGGCCATGTTTGTCGTCACTGTCATGTTTGTCAGCGCTGTCATGTTTGTCGTCACTGTCATGTTTGTCGTCACTGGCCATGTTTGTCGTCACTGTCATGTTTGTAGTCACTGTCATGTTTGTCATCACTGTCATGTTTGTCGTCACTGTCATGTTTGTCGTCACTGGCCATGTTTGTCGTCACTGGCCATGTTTGTCAGCACTGTCATGTTTGTCCTTACTGGTCATGTTTGTCCTCACTGTCATGTTTGTCGTCACTGTCATGTTTGTCCTCACTGTCATGTTTGTCCTCACTGGTCAGGTCATGTTTGTCCTCACTGGGCATGTTTGTCCTCACTGGTCATGTTTGTCCTCACTGGGCATGTTTGTCCTCACTGGTCAGGTCATGTTTGTCCTCACTGTCATGTTTGTCCTCACAGGCCATGTTTGTCGTCACTGGTCATGTTTGTCCTTACTTGTCATGTTTGTCATCACTGTCATGTTTGTCCTCACTGTCATGTTTGTCCTCACTGGTCATGTTTGTCGTCATTGGCCATGTTTGTCGTCACTGTCATGTTTGTCGTCACTGGCCATGTTTGTCGTCACTGTCATGTTTGTCAGCACTGTCATGTTTGTCCTCACTGGCCATGTTTGTTGTCACTGTCATGTTTGTCCTCACTGGGCATGTTTGTCCTCACTGGTCATGTTTGTCCTCACTGGTCATGTTTGTCCTCACTGGTCAGGTCATGTTTGTCCTCACTGGTCAGGTCATGTTTGTCGTCACTGTCATGTTTGTCCTCACTGGGCATGTTTGTCCTCACTGGTCAGGTCATGTTTGTTCTCACTGGTCAGGTCATGTTTGTTGTCACTGTCATGTTTGTCGTCACTGTCATGTTTGTTGTCACTGTCATGTTTGTCCTCACAGGTCATGTTTGTCGTCACTGTCATGTTTGTGCTCACTGGGCATGTTTGTCCTCACAGGCCATGTTTGTCCTCACTGGTCATGTTTGTCCTCACTGTCATGTTTGTCCTCACTGGTCATGTTTGTCCTCACTGGTCATGTTTGTCCTCACTGTCATGTTTGTCGTCACTGGTCATGTTTGTCCTCACTGTCATGTTTGTCGTCACTGGTTATGTTTGTCGTCACTGGTTATGTTTGTCCTCACTGGTCATGTTTGTCCTCACTGTCATGTTTGTCCTCACTGTCATGTTTGTTGTCACTGTCATGTTTGTCCTCACTGTCATGTTTGTCCTCACTGTCATGTTTGTCCTCACTGGGCATGTTTGTCCTCACTGTCATGTTTGTCCTCACTGTCATGTTTGTCCTCACTGTCATGTTTGTCCTCACTGGTCATGTTTGTCCTCACTGGTCATGTTTGTCGTCACTGTCATGTTTGTCCTCACTGGTCATGTTTGTCCTCACTGTCATGTTTGTCCTCACTGTCATGTTTGTCCTCACTGTCATGTTTGTTGTCACTGGTTATGTTTGTCCTCACTGTCATGTTTGTTGTCACTGGTCATGTTTGTCCTCACTGTCATGTTTGTCCTCACTGTCATGTTTGTTGTCACTGTCATGTTTGTCCTCACTGTCATGTTTGTCCTCACTGTCATATTTGTCCTCACTGTCATATTTGTCCTCACTGGGCATGTTTGTCCTCACTGTCATGTTTGTCCTCACTGTCATGTTTGTCCTCACTGTCATATTTGTCCTCACTGTCATATTTGTCCTCACTGGGCATGTTTGTCCTCACTGTCATGTTTGTCCTCACTGTCATGTTTGTCCTCACTGTCATGTTTGTCCTCACTGGTCATGTTTGTCCTCACTGGTCATTTTTGTCCTCACTGGTCATGTTGATCACTTCATATTCAATTTTCTGTTCTTCTTTGATGACTTGGTTGCAAACTGAACAGACAACATCATTGAACACTGTTTGTTACTGTAAATTCAGTCTTTATTTATTTATTCAGTATCACTTTGTGATTAGGTGGGTACAAGTATAAATGCTTCATCAGTTGGTCAGACTGTGTACCACTGGTGACGCACCAAACAAGTCTTCCAAAACATCTACACTTAGAAGCCACAGGGAAGGGATTCGAGGAGAGAGAGGAAAGTTGGAACACTAATGTGTTTATATCAGTATATTATTACCGTATTCGACGTAACAAGCGCCCAGGGCGCTCTCAAAATTAGAAACAGGAGGCTCTTATTACAATATTATGATGGTGAAAAAATATGTTAAAAGATAAATTTCGTGGTTTATAGTGACAGCCTGAAATGTTTATGTACGACAGATATATTTTTCCAGAATTTAATTGCCCATAATTAAGGGTGCATGTAACACACGGGTGTGTATTATATGCGAATAAATAAGCCTTGTTTACATTGATCAATCAGAAGGGGTGCTAATTGGGATTGTTCACTTGCCAATTCATCAGCAAATATCGCCGTGGGCGCTTATTACGTCGAATACGGTAAGTGTCTGCTATTGAGTAAAAATAACACTTTTTTAGGATTTTAAGATTAAGAAAAATACAATAAAAGAATTGAATACACTGAGTAGAAGAGACAAGCGATTAGCACCATTTTGTTTTAAGCTGTAGATGTTTTGTCAGAGAGACAGGCTATATTTAAGTTTAACCTTATGTACAGGAACATCATAAGCAGACTACAACATATATACATATATTGCACCAATTCTTGTAGCATTTTGAGAGACTATAGCATATAGAGGATGAAACAATACCATTCTTCACATGAAATAAAAACATCCGTTTTGAAACACACTGATGGAAACGAACAAGACAATGAAACATACAGGGAAATAAATCTTACTGTCAGTACATTTGAAACAGCCCCATACACATTCAACACGTCAGAATCAAATGTTGAGATGTGTTTGTGTGCAATGTTTCCAACACACATTTGATAGACAAGGCCCTCAACAGAGAATCTAGGCAGGCAAAACAATATCTCGTGTTGGCTCCGGCAGTTTCATATCTGGTCAATGATAAGGCCAATAAATTATGTCATAAGGTGAGAGGTCAAGGTCGGTTGGAAAAAACTTCTCAATAAAGTGTTTGGGTACATTTAAGTGGAAGTATAAATGTTATCGCTCAACATGGCATACAACTTCTTACTGGAATTGAATAACTCCCGTATGAAAATAGTTGGGACATTGCTCAACAAAAAAAGAAAGGAAAAAAAAAACAGACAAAATCTCTCAGTCGGAAAGAAGACAGAATAAAACTGTGCACTGATTTCATAATTTCAAGATTTGTTATAAATGTATCATTAAATGTGTATCACCATTTAAAATTGAATTTAAATCATAGCCTTTTTAAAAACAATACATATTTTGCCTTAATGTACTGTTTAAGGGACACACAAACATATTATAAAAACATAGTCAATATGACACTTTATGTCAATATATATCACCATATGGTTTAGTTTTATGAAAGGCACTAAAATGGACAGTCAATATTTTCATAAACCAATTGGAAAAGATCTTAGTGCTTTGCCTTTTACATCTCTCATGAAATGGCACGAGAGTTACTTGTCCAATGTTCGTAGGGTTTAAATTGTTTTGTGGAAAGTCTCCGTGCAGAGACAAATACAACATGACACTAACAGTCCAACAACATTCCAGTTATATATTAAAATGATTGAAGAGGTAGTACACGCCCAAGCAACACAAGCGTAGAGTCGTCTTACTGACCAAGCACCAAGTATGATAATATATTACATGAATACAACACCATCAACACAATAGCCTACCTGTTAACGAGTACTTTACAATACGTTTGACGTCACAATAATGCCAACCATACACTGCAGAGTATAACATCTTTAATCCATCGCCAGCACCATCGTCTTCAAGAACAAGACTCAATGAGCATGAGCCCTACTATTGAAAGATCTACAATCCACCCTGGTTATAATGCCAGGTTTTTTCTCAGAACAGATTTCTGCACAAAATTCCCAGGCTATAATGCCACCCTGGTTATGATCACAATGCTAATGTTTTTCAGAACAAACGTTCCAATTCACTGGTTACAAAAATTGGAAATGTGCTTATACTTATTCAAATTATAACTACCCCGGGTAATTGAACTGACCTCCACTGTTTCCGCAGCTAATCCCCAAACAGGGATTCATTCACCCAGTCATCTAATCCCTGTGATACCCCTGTGATACCCCTGCGATACCCCTGTGATACCCCTGCGATACACCTGTGATACCCCTGCGATACACCTGTGATACACCTGTGACACACTTGTGATAAACCCAATCATTCAATTGCCCAAACTGTAAACTCAAGCTTATGATCTGATGGACTGTATTGACAATACAGTGGCCCCAATTGTTGGTTTTTTGTTTAACACCACATTCAGCAATATTCTAGCTATATGATGGCAGTCTGTTAATAACGGTGAGCCTGACCACCCAATCCAGGTTGTTGCCTCTTATGACAAGCATAGTTTTCAGTCACCAACAAATTTATCGGATCAGTTACTTTTGCCTCAGTATATGAAGAGATGGAGTTCGAGACTGCAGGGGTCTTAGGGTGTGAGAGAGGTGGGTGCTGCTTCAATATATCACACCCCAAAAGTTGTTTCCCTTTTAAACTGCTCTACGTCTCACGCGGTGAAGGAAAGCAAAGTAGTTGTTCAGTAAAGCATGTATGTGGTATAAAAGAAATATATATTCCGGCATAGAAGGATTCCAACCAATCTTCTGTAGTTGTTCAGTAAAGCATGTATGTGGTATAAAAGAAATATATATTCCGGCATAGAAGGATTCCAACCAATCTTCTGTAATTGTTCAGTAAAGCATGTATGTGGTATAAAAGAAATATATATTCCGGCATAGAAGGATTCCAACCAATCTTCTGTAGTTGTTCAGTAAAGCATGTATGTGGTATAAAAGAAATATATATTCCACAGCATAGAAGGATTCCAACCAATCTTCTGTAATTGTTCAGTAAAGCATGTATGTGGTATAAAAGAAATATATATTCCGGCATATAAGGATTCCAACCAATCTTCTGTAATTGTTCAGTAAAGCATGTATGTGGTATAAAAGAAATATATATTCCGGCATAGAAGGATTCCAACCAATCTTCTGTAATTGTTCAGTAAAGCATGTATGTGGTATAAAAGAAATATATATTCCGGCATAGAAGGATTCCAACCAATCTTCTGTAATTGTTCAGTAAAGCATGTATCTGGTATAAAAGAAATATATTTCGGCATAGAAGGATTCCAACCAATCTTCTGTAATTGTTCAGTAAAGCATGTATCTGGTATAAAAGAAATATATATTCCGGCATAGAAGGATTCCAACCAATCTTCTGTAATTCTTCAGTAGAGCATGTATCTGGTATAAAAGAAATATATATTCCGGCATAGAAGGATTCTGACCAATCTTCTGTAATTGTTTAGTAAAGCATGTATCTGGTATAAAAGAATTATATATTCCTGCATAGAAGGATTCTGACCAATCTTCTGTAATTGTTCAGTAAAGCATGTATGTGGTATCAGAAATATATATTCCGGCATACAAGGATTCCAACCAATCTTCTGTAATTGTTCAGTAAAGCATGTATGTGGTATAAAAGAAATATATATTCCGGCATAGAAGGATTCCAACCAATCTTCTGTAATTGTTCAGTAAAGCATGTATCTGGTATAAAAGAAATATATATTCCAGGGTAGGAGGATTCCAACCAATCTTCTGTAATTGTTCAGTAAAGCATGTATCTGGTATAAAAGAAATATATATTCCGGCATAGAAGGATTCCAACCAATCTTCTGTAATTGTTCAGTAAAGCATGTATGTGGTATAAAAGAAATATATATTCCGGCATAGAAGGATTCCAACCAATCTTCTGTAATTCTTCAGTAGAGCATGTATCTGGTATAAAAGAAATATATATTCCGGCATAGAAGGATTCTGACCAATCTTCTGTAATTGTTTAGTAAAGCATGTATCTGGTATAAAAGAATTATATATTCCTGCATAGAAGGATTCTGACCAATCTTCTGTAATTGTTCAGTAAAGCATGTATCTGGTATAAAAGAAATATATATTCCGGCATAGAAGGATTCCAACCAATCTTCTGTAATTGTTCAGTAAAGCATGTATGTGGTATAAAAGAAATATATATTCCGGCATAGAAGGATTCCAACCAATCTTCTGTAATTGTTCAGTAAAGCATGTATGTGGTATAAAAGAAATATATATTCCGGCATAGAAGGATTCCAACCAATCTTCTGTAATTGTTCAGTAAAGCATGTATCTGGTATAAAAGAAATATATATTCCAGGGTAGGAGGATTCCAACCAATCTTCTGTAATTGTTCAGTAAAGCATGTATGTGGTATAAAAGAAATATATATTCCGGCATAGAAGGATTCCAACCAATCTTCTGTAATTGTTCAGTAAAGCATGTATGTGGTATAAAAGAAATATATATTCCGGCATAGAAGGATTCCAACCAATCTTCTGTAATTGTTCAGTAAAGCATGTATGTGGTATAAAAGAAATATATATTCCGGCATAGAAGGATTCCAACCAATCTTCTGTAATTGTTCAGTAAAGCATGTATGTGGTATAAAAGAAATATATATTCCGGCATAGAAGGATTCCAACCAATCTTCTGTAATTGTTCAGTAAAGCATGTATCTGGTATAAAAGAAATATATATTCCGGCATAGAAGGATTCCAACCAATCTTCTGTAATTGTTCAGTAAAGCATGTATGTGGTATAAAAGAAATATATATTCCGGCATAGAAGGATTCCAACCAATCTTCTGTAATTGTTCAGTAAAGCATGTATGTGGTATAAAAGAAATATATATTCCGGCATAGAAGGATTCCAACCAATCTTCTGTAATTGTTCAGTAAAGCATGTATCTGGTATAAAAGAAATATATATTCCAGGGTAGGAGGATTCCAACCAATCTTCTGTAATTGTTCAGTAAAGCATGTATGTGGTATAAAAGAAATATATATTCCGGCATAGAAGGATTCCAACCAATCTTCTGTAATTGTTCAGTAAAGCATGTATGTGGTATAAAAGAAATATATATTTGGTTATAGAAGGATTCCAACCAATCTTCTTTTGCCGTGTCATCAGTCCTGAAACATGACAAGCGCATGAATACACCAACAAAACATGTAATGTCAACTGATTATCATCATTGATTCCAAACTTTATGTTTAGTGTCGGCACTGGTTTTATATTATTAACATAAACAACATTAAACTCGTCGTGCTTCAGTACACGGCTTGGTCTTGTGGATGATGTCACCTACAGTAGTCCTTGAGTTAGGCAGCACTGGACATCACAACGGCAGTAACCATAGCAACCAGACTGGTCAATGTCAGCTTAGGATGGCCTGAAGAGAGGGATATATATATATACTCACCGCCAAAATAAACGCAAAACCATAGAAACATATGACATAGTATGACATGAACACGAATATGATGTTCTATTTATTACATAGAGATAAATTTCAGTGTTTACCTATCAGAACAGCAAGTCACAACAGCAGCGGAACCACAATTTGTCAAATGACGTTAACAATCTTCAGCTATGATGTCGTTTCTAGTGTGACGTCATTCTGACCTCACGTCACAATAAGATTTGAATGATGTCCGGAGGATGGAAACAATACACTGTTGTCTTGTGACATGATATGACCATAGTGAGTGAGTGAGTGAGTGAGTGAGTGAGGTTTAACGCCGCTTTTAACAGTATTCCAGTTATATCGCGGCGTGTCAGCTTAATGTGGGAGGAAAGCCCGAAGTGATGCAGGTCTCAGACGTTTACCACTTCGGTGAAACCCACAAGCACGGCTATGGTGCTGACAAACCTAGAAACATAATAGGGGCGAACCTTGATTCGAACCAACGATCATAGGTTTTCTGGCGTGCCAAAGGGATGCAACTCTGCACAGCAAATCGCAGCGCCTTAGATGACTGGGCCACCAGTGCCACTTGATATGACCATAGGGCACATACAGAATACTACTCATCCTCGTTAGATACCATTTTTAGGAAACAAGTCGACTTTCTTAAAAATGGTATCTAAAAAGAATGAGTGTTCTATTGTAATTAATACCCACGTTATATATATATTTAAGTGTAAATACATAACAACTTTTGTTCATTGACCAAACTGAAACTGGTTGCAAAATCTGGTTGCGCATGAATATTGATATATGCCCAAATATGGGGATTGTTGACAGCTTTGAACGAAGGGCAAGGTCACCACCGGAATAAGAAAAACAACGGTGATCTACTCATAGCGTTTTACGCTAGAGATCAGGAATGTTTTTGTTCACATTTGGGATATTTTGGGCCACATGATCAGAAATCAGGCACTTGTCTACAGAGTTTTCCTGAGGTCTGTGTATGTCTGACATGAGGTAGCACACCCTTAATATACATACACCCTGAGGTCTGTGTAGACTGTCTGACATGAGGTACAACACCCCTAATATACATACACCCTGAGGTCTGTGTGTGTCTGACATGAGGTAGCACACCCTTAATATACACACCCTGAGGTCTGTGTAGACTGTCTGACACGAGGTAGCACACCCTTAATTTACATACACCCTGAGGTCTGTGTAGACTGTCTGACATGAGGTAAAACACCCTTAATATACATACACCCTGAGGTCTGTGTAGACTGTCTGACATGAGGTAGCACACCCTTAATATACATACACCCTGAGGTCTGTGTGTGTCCGACATGAGGTAGCACACCCTTAATATACATACACCCTGAGGTCTGTGTAGACTGTCTGACATGCGGTGGCACACCCTTAATATACATACACCCTGAGGTATGTGTGTATCCAACATGAGGTAGCACACCCTTAATATACATACACCCTGAGGTCTGTGTAGACTGTCTGACATGAGGTAGCACACCCTTAATATACATACACCCTGAGGTCTGTGTAGACTGTCTGACATGAGGTAGCACACCCTTAATATACATACACCCTGAGGTCTGTGTAGACTGTCTGACATGAGGTAGCACACCCTTAATATACATACACCCTGAGGTCTGTGTAGACTGTCTGATATGAGGTACAACACCCCTAATATACATACACCCTGAGGTCTGTGTGTGTCCGACATGAGGTAGCACACCCTTAATATACATACACCCTGAGGTCTGTGTAGACTGTCTGATATGAGGTACAACACCCCTAATATACATACACCCTGAGGTCTGTGTGTGTCCGACATGAGGTACAACACCCCTAATATACATACACCCTGAGGTCTGTGTAGACTGTCTGACATGAGGTAGCACACCCTTAATATACATACACCCTGAGGTCTGTGTAGACTGTCTGACATGAGGTAGCACACCCTTAATATACATACACCCTCAAGGTCTGTGTAGACTGTCTGACATGAGGTACAACACCCCTAATATACATACACCCTGAGGTCTGTGTCTCTCCGACATGAGGTAGCACACCCTTAATATACATACACCCTGAGGTCTGTGTGTGTCCGACATGAGGTAGCACACCCTTAATATACATACACCCTGAGGTCTGTGTGTGTCCGACATGAGGTAGCACACCCTTGATATACATACACCCTGAGGTCTGTGTGTGTCCGACATGAGGTAGCACACCCTTAATATACATACACCCTGAGGTCTGTGTAGACTGTCCGACATGAGGTAGCACACCCTTAATATACATACACCCTGAGGTCTGTGTGTGTCCGACATGAGGTAGCACACCCTTAATATACATACACCCTGAGGTCTGTGTAGACTGTCCGACATGAGGTAGCACACCCTTAATATACATACACCCTGAGGTCTGTGTGTGTCCGACATGAGGTAGCACACCCTTAATATACATACACCCTGAGGTCTGTGTAGACTGTCCGACATGAGGTAGCACACCCTTAATATACATACACCCTGAGGTCTGTGTAGACTGTCTGACATGAGGTAGCACACCCTTAATATACATACACCCTCAAGGTCTGTGTAGACTGTCTGACATGAGGTACAACACCCCTAATATACATACACCCTGAGGTCTGTGTAGACTGTCTGACATGAGGTAGCACACCCTTAATATACATACACCCTGAGGTCTGTGTGTGTCCGACATGAGGTAGCACACCCTTAATATACATACACCCTGAGGTCTGTGTAGACTGTCTGACATGCGGTGGCACACCCTTAATATACATACACCCTGAGGTCTGTGTAGACTGTCTGACACAAGGTAGCACACCCTTAATATACATACACCCTGAGGTCTGTGTAGACTGTCTGACATGAGGTAGCACGCCCTTAATATACATACACCCTGAGGTCTGTTCAGACTGTCTGACATGAGGTAGCACACCCTTAATATACATACACCCTGAGGTCTCTGTAGACTGTCTGACATGAGGTAGCACACCCTTAATATACATACACCCTGAGGTCTGTGTAGACTGTCTGACACGAGGTAGTTCACCCTTAATATACATACACCCTAAGGTCTGTGTAGACTGTCTGACATGAGGTAGCACACCCTTAATATACATACACCCTGAGGTCTGTGTAGACTGTCTGACATGAGGTAGTACACCCTTAATATACATACACCCTGAGGTCTGTGTGTGTCTGACATGAGGTAGCACACCCCTTATATACATACACCCTGAGGTATGTGTGTATCCAACATGAGGTAGCACACCCTTAATATACATACACCCTGAGGTCTGTGTAGACTGTCTGACATGAGGTACAACACCCCTAATATACATACACCCTAAGGTCTGTGTAGACTGTCTGACATGAGGTAGCACACCCTTAATATACATACACCCTGAGGTCTGTGTAGACTGTCTGACATGAGGTACAACACCCCTAATATACATACACCCTGAGGTCTGTGTAGACTGTCTGACATGAGGTACAAGACCCCTAATATACATACACCCTAAGGTCTGTGTAGACTGTCTGACATGAGGTAGCACACCCTTAATATACATACACCCTGAGGTCTGTGTAGACTGTCTAACATGAGGTAGCACACCCTTAATATACATACACCCTGAGGTCTGTGTAGACTGTCTGACATGAGGTAGCACACCCTTAATATACATACACCCTGAGGTCTGTGTAGACTGTCTGACATGAGGTAGCACACCCTTAATATACATACACCCTGAGGTCTGTGTAGACTGTCTGAGACGAGGTAGTACACCCTTAATATACATACACCCTGAGGTCTGTGTCTCTCCGACATGAGGTAGCACACCCTTAATATACATACACCCTGAGGTCTGTGTGTGTCCGACATGAGGTAGCACACCCTTAATATACATACACCCTGAGGTCTGTGTAGACTGTCTGACATGAGGTAAAACACCCGTAATATACATACACCCTGAGGTCAGTGTAGACTGTCTAACATGAGGTAGCACACCCTTAATATACATACACCCTGAGGTCTGTGTGTGTCTGACATGAGGTAGCACACCCTTAATATACATACACCCTGAGGTCTGTGTAGACTGTCTGACATGAGGTAGCACACCCTTAATATACATACACCCTACAGTCTGTGTGTGTCCGACATGAGGTAGCACACCCTTAATATATATACACCCTATGGTCGGTGTAGACTGTCCGACATGAGGTAGCACACCCTTAATATACATACCACACCCTTAATATACATACACCCTGAGGTCTGTGTGTGTCCGACATGAGGTAGCACACCCTTAATATATATACACCCTATGGTCGGTGTAGACTGTCTGACATGAGATGGCAGCACCCTAAGATGTATGCGTAAAAATACACCAAGTTTTGATATATCTGGAAAATGTAGTTCAAGGAGTACCAGTTCCATTCTGAAGTCTACACACATAATGTTCAAAAGTATCGACTCCTCTGTACTTGATATTGACATGGAACAAACATGTCGGTACTGGCACGAAGATACTCAGGTTGAGCTTTTAGCAATAGTTTAGCACTATCACGGCGGGGGACACCAGAAATGGGCTTCATACATTGTACCCATGTCAGGAATCGAACCTGGGTCTTCGGTGTGACGAGCAAACGCTTAACCAGTAGGTTACCTGTCCGCCCCTACTTCGGTTGAGGTAAAGCATGACTATTGAAGCAGGAATGTGTGTTGGACATACCGGTGTAGGTTGGAGCGGCTTTGTTGGTTGGGCTGACTGTGTTGGTTGGTCTGACTGTGTTGGTTGGTGCAGGTGCGCTTGGATGCGGAGCTCCATTGCAAGACACGGTTGTGGCTGATGTGCCTACAACATATACAAAAGTACATTCGACATTCATAACATAATATATGATCCTTATGTTATTCAGTGCTTCATAAGTTGTTAAAATAATAAAGCTACAAGACCCTTTCCAAATCCAATAGAAATCTCTGCATAAAGCAGAGTCGACTGTACGAGTATTAAATACTGATGATACCAGGTGTTTGTGAAAAGGAGAGTGCATCCTCCCCCATTGGTGTCGCAAACACATGCAAAGGCAAGTCAATTGTTCACCTGACAAAACACGGGACATATGGTACAAGTCACAATAGGGAATTGCATCGGACATCTCTTTTGTCACTGGTGCTTCAAATTATGAAATGTCCTCAAGATGTCTCCCATAAAACTTTCTGAAAGCTCTACTGAGGCCTTGATCAAACAACTTCTGAGCAAGACTCATATGATGCTCTTTGAAATCTTGGCAAAGAAGGCAAATCAGACACATGCACGACTGGCTTCAATATGTAAGAAATAATAATAATGAAATGTTTTGCTTCATATGTCTTTATTGCCTTGATATTCAATTACTTAACATCGCTCAAGTTTGAGGCCATGCATACATAGCGGTTATCACGCGAGTGTGTTTGGGAATGGTAAATATCCTGCATTAGGAATAAACATTGTATTTAGCAAGCCTTGGCGAGCTAAATACATAGTGTTTATTCCTAATGCAGGATATTTACCATCCCCAAACACACTCGCATGATAACCTCTTTATCATAAAATGTCATTCTTTAATTCTGTGCTTTAAAATCACTTTCCCTCTCTCACAAACATTACCTAAACATTGTGAGTTTTCCTGGAATGCTTGCATTAATAGTTATTACGTCACAGAGTAAGTGATGCGTCAGTCGGACAGTGACAGTAGCCAATATAGTTCCAACTGAAATCTGTTTCTTATACAGTGGCGAAGCAACATATACGCAAAACAACAGGGTTTTTTATTGCCTTTCGCGGCAATCCATCGGTCCGTCCGCTAGAGTAACTGCCCTTTGTCAAAGGGAAGCTACTCTAAACCCTAGTCTATGAGACGTTACGGCCACGGTCAGACGTTGTTGACAGTCAGTCTGTCCGGTCATAACGTTAAGAAGTGTAGTCAGATGTACACACAGCGACAAAACGAAACAAGGTAACAATTCAAACATATTTCGGCCAAATCAAACTATTTTGATTTGTGGAGAAGGTTTCAAGCGGCAGAGGTCTACAAGCACAGAGTTGCCAAAACTTATAAAATGCCTTAGCTACGTCACAGTTAGACACTGTTTTTCTGTATATATGAGACTGCTCTTTTGATAATGATAGCAATTATCCCTGTAGTTTATCCAGATTCCCGATGGTTAATTCTGACTCGATCGCCGAATGACGAGTGCGACGCCATGTTTGTTTATAAACAGTGAAAGTAGTCCTACTTGACCTTTGATATTTGCATCTCTATCCGCATATGACGCCAACAGATATCGTTTTTATCCGTTGGCTTTATCCTGCCGAGAAACCTACCCATTATATGATAAATTAGCCTACACAATCATTTACAACTACTGTCCTTCCCATTCACTGTGCATTCTGTTCCTGGCGGAGTACTTCCCGGCATATTGGAATACTTCATTCCCCAAATAAAAAGGATTGTTTTAAGATTTTGTTGGAATTCGTTCCCCTGTACTTTTTCTAATGTCTTATACACAAAGATCATTGACGTCCGAGAATATCCTTCCCTGGACTTCTCATTGACCTTGGCAATTCTTTTGGTTCATGTCATGAATTGGTCAAAGGTCAAGGTCATGAGAAAGAAACAATTAACATATAAGGTTTATGGTTACACTTTCTCAAAAAGTAACAAATACATTTATCTTCAAACTTGGATACACCTTCCCCATGTAGCCCTGATTGGAAACGCTTTGGTCAAAATAAGTCAAAGGTCAGAGTACAGCTTTTTGTCACATCATTGTCAGATTCTGATGTTATCTCTATAGACATGTTTCTCCATATTTCAGGGATAGACAGAGTGCCATTGTTCCCGCAGCACACATAATTAGGAAATGGCACGCTTGAATTTTATGTACAGTGCTTACTGGGCACAGTCATTGTCATTAAAGGTACTTAATTAAATTTTTGTCCTGTCTTGAAAAAATTAAATCCCATTTCCTCCATCGTTTCAGGCGTTTGAGTATACGTAAAATTACATTTGAATGTAAACACATCTTTCCTTATATTGATGGAAAACCATGACTTAAATAGCTAGGCCTTTCATTTCAAATGAAGTGCTTATTCGTGGAGATTCTTGTGAAAAACCTTATAGATCTAGAGGATTGCTTTTTGTCTAAAAAGAAAAACCTACTGCTGTAACTTCTAACAAAGTTTTGGGAGCCAATTATCACCGAGTGCGAGTGCATTGAAACTGAAAAACTTACTGAGAAGCGAAAAATTTAATGCAGTCACTATTGACATGGTTGTGAGTAAGTGCATATTTCATGAAAGATATTTTGTATAATCTCTCTGTACTATGCAAAATATCAATATTTATAAGCTTAATTTTTTTCTGCATCCATTCTCTACATTTGTGCTTACCAGACGTACAAATGTGCGTCTCATAAAACCCTGCATGTTCATTGTCAGTTACAGTTGCACCCTTACAATCCTGACATTTGGTAATTGTGGGATCTAAAGAATTTTAATGAACAAGGTTTGGAAGTAGTCAGTAAGTGAGTGAGAATGGTTTTACACAGCTTATATCACAGCAGGACACAAGAAACAGGCTTCACACATGTGGGGAATCGAACCCAGGCCTTCGGTTTGACAAGCAAATGCCTTAACCGCTAGGCTACCCCACCGCCCCATCTGAGAGTGGTCGATATCTTTAGGCCTTAGAAGCATTGAGGAAATGTCAGTGAAGGGACTGCACTGTTTTCGCAAGTATTTGCAGACACCTGTGCCTCTAATACTTACTTTACTGTCCGAACACGCAGAGTTTTGCGAGACTACCGCAGCGCTCTTGGACAATCCCGGTGAAGAGGAAGTTAGTAGGACACCCAATGGCGTAGACTTAAAAACATAACCATGAACTTGGATTATTCACAGTGCATAATTCATTCCTAAGTAACTCAAATGTCTAAAAGCTCCTTCATTGGAAACCTCCCTCTGCTTATCGATAATCGAAGTATTAACGGAAGAACTGGTGCAGAAATGTCTACATTCAGTAACATGGGCTGCCTTCCGTGACACAAGCCTCTTACCCTTCACTCTCATCCACAAGTAGTTGCCGTCTTTGCCCTCCTTCCCCCCGGCATTGTACACCAACTGCACCTGCTTCACATTCTTCAATTCCCAAGCAGAAAATGGATTTGTACCAGAATATCTAAGTCCCGAAACAGTGTTAACTTCTCCAGCTCTGGGATGGACGATGGAACCTGCAGTCATGGTATATTTGTCGGTGTCGTTGGCGCGGGGCTGGATCAGGGCCTCAATGACCTGCATTGTCATTCCCGCTCCCCGGATCTCACAGGTGCAGGTCTTGTTTGGGTAGTCTACGGTATAGTTCCCTGGGTAGTTTGGAGACTTCAGATACAAGTAACTGTCCGGCCCGGATGCAACTCCGCCCAAACTGCAGATGTCAAGTGGGGTCTCTGGAAAACAACACACACTGAGTGAGTGAGTGAGTGGATTAAGGCTGGGAAGCGTAACTTGGGTACTCGGGTCAGGTCCTAAGTAGGACCCGGGCCTCACAGGCCATCCCGGCTGTCCTGTCTCCAGCACATTACACAACTCATTATGAAGATGCCATTTAGTGGTTCTTTGAAAATCTAAGAAAACATTTTGTGAATGACCTCAATATTTTGTTGTGTATAATGTTAATAATAGGTTTTTTTCCATATCCAAGGTCATGCTTCCGTAAGATATATTCTGGTCTATAGATTATTAGCCGAGTGAGATATTACATATTTTTTTAGTACTAAAAAAGACTAATAATCTCTTTATGCGTGTGACCTGGGACCTGACTGAGCGTGTGACCTGGGACCTGACTGAGCGTGTGACCTGACTAAGTGTGTGATCTGACTGAGCGTGTGACCTGGGACCTGATTGAGCGTGACCTGACTGAGTGTGTGACCTGGGACCTGGCTGAGTGTGTGACCTGGGACCTGGCTGAGTGTGTGACCTGGGACCTGGCTGAGTGTGTGACCTGACTGAGTGTGTGACCTGGGACCTGGCTGAGCGTGTGACCTGGGACCTGACTGAGTGTGTGACCTGGAACCTGACTGAGCGTGTGACCTGGCTGAGCATGTGACCTGGGACCTGACTGAGCATGTGACCTGGGACCTGACTGAGTGTGTGACCTGGGACCTGGATGAGCGTGTGACCTGGGACCTGACTGAGCGTGTGACCTGGGACCTGGATGAGCGTGTGACCTGGGACCTGACTGAGCGTGTGACCTGGGACCTGACTGAGCGTGACCTGACTGAGTGTGACCTTGGACCTGGATGAGTGTGTGACCTGGGACCTGACTGAGTGTGTGACCTGGGACCTGACTGAGCGTGTGACCTTACTGAGCGTGTGACCTGGGACCTGACTGAATGTGTGACCTGGATGAGTGTGTGACCTGGGATGAGCGTGTGACCTAGGACCTGACTGAGCGTGACCTGACTAAGTGTGTGACCTGGGACCTGACTGTGTGACCTGGATGAGTGTGTGACCTGGGATAAGCGTGTGACCTAGGACCTGACTGAGCGTGACCTGACTAAGTGTGTGACCTGGGACCTGACTGTGTGACCTGGATGAGTGTGTGACCTGGGATGAGCGTGTGACCTGGGACCTGACTGAGCGTGTGACCTGGGACCTGGCCGTGTGTACATTAGCTTCAGCTGTCCACCCCTAATCTGCCTGACACGACTTGATTCACAGGCTGCCTTGACACAGCTGTACTATTGCCAACTGAGGCATATATACACACTCACTCACTCACACAATATGACAATCAAACGATTAAAGTAATATCCAGACAATACATACCAGAAATACACTCATAAAGTAACGTAGGTTGATAGAAGTTCGCCTTGTTACAACTGTCTTCTACCCAGCTTTTCCTCACCGTCTTGTTACACCCTCTGACACCGGTGCAGTCAGTGTCAGAACTGATGTAGTATCGGGTAGAGCAGCTGCCAGGCTTACAGTCATCTGTCATCTCTTGCACATTTGTATCGATGAAATACATCATCTCCTGTTCCGGGCAGGTGATACTGAATGTAGTATTGGCATCGGAGGTACACGGCTTCACATCCTTCACGTCGTCACCTGGAATGAAGTATCAGTATGGCCAGAAGACACACATAGTACCTAGCGTTAAAGGGAAACAACACTCCAATTTGGAAAGTTTTTAAATATTGATCGGCATTGTCTTCATGGATTCAAAATCCGCTTATTATGGACTATAGTTTCAACTGGCTTGACTTGTGTTCGGTGCTATTCTCGCTGCGATGTGTGAAGTGACACCTGTTGGAGGATCAAAGAATGAGAAGCCGTATATCATAACAAAGGTATACAGTAAAGGGTTGCAGCCAAACTGACATGTGTTTCGTTCTGGATTAATATATGCACAACTTGAAAGGGGGTCAACATTGAACAATAAAAACCTACAGAGAATTCAGGTAATTGATGAGGTGATAACACTCTCTATTGATAAAAAATGTGAAATTCAGATAAATTACCACTTAATATGATGATTTACCATTTACATTGTATTTTCTGTTCTTCTAGGCAATGTTTTATACGCAGAAGTAAAGAATAACAAGTGTATTTTCTCGTGAACTAAGCTGGATAGTATATAGCTGTATACACCTATTCTACCAATCTGCAAAAGATACACAACAAAAATAACTTCAAAGAATATTGATGCCATGATGGAATGAATAGTATCTGAAACTATTATTTCATCAGATATAAAATATTCCAACATAGACTTATTTTAGTTCCAGCTTTTACTATGTATATGTAGAATAATAATAACCATAAGTGTAGCACTTTGGAACAACTGATTGCCGGATATGTTTTAGGTATGGAACAATTTGATCAATTGCCGTTAAGGCCTCCCGTGTTCTTGCTACAGCAAATGAATGAAAACAAAATGCAAAAATCGTAATTACAGCCGACAAAAGTTATCTGTGTAATATCAGGCAGTTACCTTGTTTGAGAAATGTTTCCGCAGATATCCACATGAAAGGAACAATTGGCCTTTTTCACACTTTGCTACTTCCAGTTTGAAAGGGAGACTTTGAGAGCCGAAGGTGAAGGCTGGACAGTACATGATACACATGGAGATGTCAACAAGGCACGCAGTCCGGACAAAGTGTGATATCTTAACCATTCCGGTACTATCACGGCAACCATTTATCGTAAGTATTGAATATAATTATTATTCTTATCATTGACAAAATATTTTACAGTTATCGGATCTCCTTACTGATATAACTTTAGCAAGTGAGTCTGGCCGATCTGTTGTAATTTCAATTTCAAATTACCATGACCACCTGATAACTCCCAGTGCAGTTTATGGTAGCTGAACAGACTTAATACAAATCCTACACAGATTGTGTAAAGAATAATTAATTGATTACATACCATTAACCCAAACTATTTATCTATTTGTTTTAGTCAAGGTGTAGAAAATTTTGACCTCTTGACCATATCTAGATAGATGTCAGAAACTAACTAAATTGATATGTTGATTATATTTTTTTATTATATCTTATCATGCTTATTGTAACCTATTAAGAATTTACAATCATAAACAAATCAGAATTTTCAACTGTTGGTGTATTTGATGTATATTGTAATGGACTCAAATACATTCCAATAACATATTAGACCTCTAGATCTACCAGTGCTGTTGTGATTGTGAACAGTAGTTATTCTAATTGTCAATGTTGACTGATTCGATAGCATGAGGCGTAATATTTCAACTGAACTATTACATAAAAGGCATGTAAATATTTAAATTGAAGTACAGTTTGATCTGCAATTTTGTAAACAATATTTCTACCAAAATGATATTTACTTTTCTGTACCAAAATATTCATATCATGAAATGAACAAAAACCCAACTAGTTAATGGCAAGTAAATGTTCAATCTACATATGATCTTTATGTAATGTACACAGACAGATCACTCTTTAACAGTCTGTAACATTTTGCTTTTGTTGACAATCTTTAGAACTTTAGTTAACTTTATTCAAGTTAAGTGGTGTGATCATTTTGATAATTCAATCAAGATGAGAAATAAATAAAGTATAAATACATAGAGGAAATTTGTTTTCCTTCTCAAATAATGGTGATAGCATGAAATTTATCTCATATTGTGATCTGACAAAGTTAATACAAAAATAATACATCTTATTCATATTATATTTACTTTGTGAGCTTCATGACCTTATTCAGAAAACCATAGTGTCAATGAGGCAGACAGACTGTAGGGCTGACAAAACGTGATATTTCACCTGATTTTAATCATCACGTTTCACTATGTATGTTTTCAGCATGGTCAGTCTAAACAAAGTATTTCATGATTAAATACATAATACAAATATCAGTACCAGTTACATTCAAACTAGGGTGAATTTCTGTGTGACATTAATCTAGAGAACTGTAGTACCCTGTCACTACACTGATGTATCTGTTGTGTTTACACAGAATATACAGTTCGAGTTTTAGACATCAGATGAATTGATACCTTCAAGATTGTTCTTAACTAGCAAATATTATTAATCACTGTGATTAATTTTCCTAAAACATCTATTTCAGAAGAATATTGTTTTCTGAATAAACAATATTTTGAGAGAAGGTGAATAAAGCATTGTTTATAAAAAAAAATCATAGGAGTAGAAATATTATTACTATATTATTGAATTAGTTATTTCAGGTTTTGATTCCAGAGAGTCAACACAATGAATATCTATACAGTCTAGTTGAGTCTACTCTGTTGATTTCCTTTCTTCACAGAGAAGCTGTATGCTGAAACTGAAACCATCTCCGGTGATGGAGATCTGGAGGAGCTTTCTGCTGATAGTGACACACTGTGCTTCCTGTCACATTTCACTTAAATAGGACAATGAGGTGCAAAGCCATATCCACCCACTCACTCACCAGCCACATGGGCAATATTTATCAGACTCATGACATTTGAATAAAAGTATTCTACAAAAACACATTGTACCATTTGTTTACAAGCAAGAAAATTATTTTCTCCTGGAATTTAATTAGGTGCTTTTGACTGACAAAGACACCTTGGCCAAGCTGACGGACATGTTCAGTTTTAAAAGTCTGAATAACTGAAGTGAACGATAAACAGGCTTTCGTTGTGAGAAATAAAGGCATGAAAATTTTGGTTTGTTTTCTTTGTTAAATATGAGGAATCCAGATAATTTTAGATTGCTGCATCGCAGGCACTAATATGCGACTATAAGATTAATCAGAGTTATTTAATTGAACCAACACACATTTTATTTGCCTGTTCTAGATATAAGAATTGATTTTAATTATTTGGTTTACAGGTTGTCCAAATTAGAATAAAAGTGATTCCATAAACATATTGTCAGGTTTTGGAAACAGGGAAAAAATATCATTTGGGGATTATATGTCAGATAGTTTTTTCCCCGACCTACTTTGACATTTTATTACTGACTGAACAGACTGGGGGACATTAGTAATTCTCCAAGATGACATTTTATTCCATTTTGGGGGTAAAACTAAACAACATGGACATGGTGGATATATTTTAAGCATGCTAAAAGTTTGTGAGATATCATGACTTAATAAATGAAAGCATATTGCAATGACATAATTTCAATACTTCCTGCGAAACTAACATTTTCTCATCATGAAACTTGATTATCTACATGTATGATATGGTATAAATAATCAGTTTTGGATAATTAAAAAACAATGTAATATTTTACTAACAATTTTATTAACAATGTAATACTTTCATGTAGCCAGCTTTCAAGAGTGTATATATAGACTGTAAATATATATTTGTATATTTACTTTTGAAACTTTATGAAAAGAATAGTTTGGTATTTTTGTTTGATCATAAGTATAATCATATACATTTATCTGCATGAACTTCATCACACAAAGTACGTGATCTGGACTACCAGTTGTCGGACTTTCACCTTTGTGGAAGCCTTGGCGGCTGAGTGGCTTAGATTGCTGACTTGTGTGCTGGCGATTAGGTGCCTCACTCTGGCAGAGTGGGTTCGAATCCCGGATCAGAAAGTGTTATCCCAAATGTAACATTTGTTAGTGAAAATTATGTTATCTTCAGCCGGGCTAGCCCAGTAAAGATCAGTAAAGGTTTGCGTTTAGCTCTAACACTGTGTGGTCGTAGTTGAACTCACCTAGCACCATGAGATGTAGACTATACAGGAAGCACACAACAGCCAACCTTGTCGTAGTCATGTTGAGAGATGGGGGACTTGAGGATGCGAGTGAATGCAGTCTTGGGGTATCCCGGTACCGTACTCACTACTTATTGACAGTATTGCACAATATCTCTTACAACCTTCACTTTCCGTCCGCGTTCACAATGTCACTGACCAACAGCTGTCATTTCATTTGCATCTACATAAATCAATAATGGTTATAGCACCAAAAACACGCTATAATGCAATGCACCAGAGACCGCATACCGAATGCACTATAAGGCGTGGTCGTGTTACGCAGAACGATTCATCGGTCGCACTATAGCGCGGTAATTGCGCGGATGGTAGAGCTCTGGCATCGCCCGGTAAACTGAGGAGGGGCAGGTATGCTGACGATTGGTTGGTTGAAAAACGCTGGTCGGCAATATTGATCCAGCGTACACCGGCAAAATAATTAGGCCTATGTAATTGTGAATAAAACAATAGAAAAACAAGAAAAGTGTAAAAGAGGAATCATTTGGTGAACTAGGATTTGTAACGCATCAAGTTCTGATGTTCTTCAAATCCTGAAAGCAAGGAAATGGCCCTAAACGCACCTGTATTCATATTGTGCGGTAAGCAGTGTAAAGTCAATGTCCTAGCCCCCATCTGCTTGAACAGAAATCTCGACTTAAATATGTCGATCTTCATCAACACAGATACTCTCGTGAGCAAAGCCATATTATTTGTTAAAAATAAATCAACTGATTGTCCCCCACGTTAACCTTCCTGAAATGGGCCTCTCTTTAACGGACGTGCTTTGTTGAAATACTATTTATAGGCGGACCATTTGGCATATAGGCGAGTATTTTGGGTAAACATTTTTTCTTCATTTTTAGAGGCTGAGATTTTTTTTATAAAGGTGAGCTGAGATTTTTTTACGTCGCATTTCAAATTCAACATATATGGATAGTGGACAGTGTTATCACTGTTGCTGTGAATCAAAAGAGTGATTGATTAAGAATTTAATCCCGACAAAACAGAATCAATTGAATTTTCAAGAAAATGTAACGTCACTGTCAATGGTTCTATTGCAAAACAAGGACGATAATTGTTCTTCTGGGTCGGATTCCAGCCCCGCGATGAGGGTCCCTGACAGTCTGGTCTGCTCTTCAAACCAGGGATGCGTCCTACAGTCTCCGTAGCAGTGGCATTGCGATGACGTAGGCTGGACAGTCGAATGTACCGATCCTGTGCAGGGGTGGCAACTCTTGGTCGGCCGGTTCTCGAACGGTCTGCAGTGGCATGGGCGGATACAGCTTTTTTTAAAGGGGGGGGGGGGGGGTGGGGGTGGTGGGGTTGTGTTCACAATTATGACCCATCTATTGTCATTGGTGGTAATTTATACAGAAATGAAGATTTTTTTCGAAATATAAAGGGGGGTGGGGGGGTGCGCACCCCCGCATTTTCGAATTATAAAGGGGGGGTGCGCACCCCCGCAGACACCCCCACCCCCACCCCCGCCCCCCTCTGTATCCGCCCATGAGTGGAATTGAACTGTGTGTATCGGTCATAAATGGTGCTGTGGAGGACGTTGAAGTGGCGTGCAACAGAGGAGTTCAATCTTTGGATACGTCTTATGGCGATGTTCCGAACGACAGCGCGGAGTCTCGTTATTTAAGAACTTGAAAAATGTTGACAATTGAACGACAAATTATTGGCTTATGCGTTCCTTTTTATAACCACTACCACGAGTTACGAATGCCATAACTTGCACGAGCATTTTGCATTAGTGTTTTTTACTCCATGACATTTTTGAACAAGTGTGAAAACAACGTCGTTTAAGACATTGCAAATCGACAATGGCTGCGTTTTTACGCACCGTTTGTCGAATATCAGGCCACCAACATTTTCCAATAACATATATCCAATTTATATACCGGATTTTTTTGTGTCGTCAGGTTCAATGAACTACATACCACCTGTGCGTGTTTTTCAGAGTGTAAGTATAATGATAACGAAATACATAAATAAACATGAAAATATTTTTAAAACATTTTTAAGAATAAATTATTACATAGTGTTTGTTAATGTTATTCAGCAACAGTCATAAGAGGGAGACACGCCTTGTCCTAGACTGGTTTACCTGGCCTAGAGCGCTTCAGCTGCTCGCCTGCAGCCGCTTGAAGGCGAAGAGAAGGGTACCAGTCCAGCTCTATCAGACCAATTTCCCCATACAGCATTTCGCTGCGGTGAAACGTTGAACCATTTCCATGAAGCGGGTTTTTCTGTCGAGACGGGATCGGGTGGTCAGGCTCGCTGACTTGGTTGAAGCATGTCATCGATCCAAATTCCATGGATCGATGCTCATGATATCAATCACTGGATTGTCTGGTCCAGACGCGATTATTTACAAACCGCCGTCATATAGCTGTAATATTGCTGAGTGCGGCCTTAAACAACAAACAAACCAACCATTATAAAATAATATTACAACAATGTAGCTATTAATTTGAAAAGAATATATATGACAAAATATGAAGAATTTGACCACTGTAGATATATCAATGTCAACAGTATCATGAATACCACTATGATTGTGTCAACCTAATACCCCTTGTTCCTTGAAAACAATAACAAATGTTTCAGGAAGTCATTGTTGTGAAACCATTTTACTGGTTTTGTTATCATAATCTGTTTGTTCTCTTTAATATTACATAAATATTTAAACTGAAATTTGCAATATTCTTATTCATGATTCTGAAGGTGCCACATGTAAATTACAATATAGGTACTTGCATCAAAAGGTAGGTATGCTACAAAAAATTCTTTGCGCCGTGTTAATCCTCTGTTCAAAGTTATCTTGTGTAATAATTGTGACTCTGCTCTTTCCACAAGTGCATTGTGGGGCCGAGCTGACACATGTACATATAGCCGACGTTTGGTGTCGCTGGTTATTGTGACTTGATGTGTTTTGTGTTGCAAATATTACAACTCTATTTCCACCATTAATGATTGTAGGCTGACACCGTCATCGATGTGAATCGACGGCCTGGGACGGGATATGGCCGAGGAAGAGCAACCGCGTTCTGTTTATTTGACTGCAGTAAATTTTATGCTGCTAACTACACCAAGCAACCGATGCACATGTGGACATAGTGCTCTTCAAACATTGCCCATTCCGGTGTCCAGAGACATAATTCCTAGGCCTCGAGAACCAACGCCCGCCAACTTTGTGGCTGATGTGGCACAATGGTGTGAATATGTTGGGAAAAACCCCGTGGAATGAGACATGGTTGATATCCCCTTGCTATATGTCTTCCCTCGGAATAATATTAAATTAGTCCATACGTTTAATTAAAATATTTCACCAATCGATATTGATCTGGACTTGCTGGTAGTGAAAGAACGATGTGACCAAGGATACGCTAGTTCACATGGGAGGTAATTTGAATAGCGTCATGACGTCAACCTATTTTGACGTAACGCAAAATGTGTACTTAATCGCAGGTTCTAACATTCATAGACATCATTTTGCCAAGCGATGCGTCGAATGTCCTCCACATGTCTACCTTTTACAACGTTTTGAAAACTTTGAATTCCTGCAGCAGGTAATCGTCCCTTACACCGTGTGTCTGCTTATGTGGTGTTCTCGTCAATGCCAGTGACGTGACCGTCGGTAAGCGCAGTAACATGCGCAGATGGCGGACTTCCTGTGGTGTGGTCACATGGTCTACCGCTTCGTAGCCTGTCCCTTGTGTTCCCAGTCTGGTGACCTGTCCCTTGTGTGTCCAGTCTGGTGACCTGTCCCTTGTGTTCCTAGTCTGGTGACCTGTCCCTTGTGTGTCCAGTCTGGTGACCTGTCCCTTGTGTTCCCAGTCTGGTGACCTGTCCCTTGTGTGTCCAGTCTGGTGACCTGTCCCTTGTGTGTCCAGTCTGGTGACCTGTCCCTTGTGTGTCCAGTCTGGTGACCTGTCCCTTGTGTCTGGTGACCTGTCCCTTGTGTGTCCAGTCTGGAGACCTGTCCCTTGTGTGTCCAGTCTGGTGACCTGTCCCTTGTGTCTGGTGACCTGTCCCTTGTGTGTCCAGTCTGGTGACCTGTCTCTTGTGTGTCCAGTCTGGTGACCTGTCCCTTGTGTGTCCAGTCTGGTGACCTGTCCCTTGTGTGTCCAGTCTGGTGACCTGTCCTCTGTGTGTCCAGTCTGGTGACCTGTCCCTTGTGTTCCCAGTCTGGTGACCTGTCCCTTGTGTGTCCAGCCTGGTGACCTGTCCCTTGTGTTCCCAGTCTGGTGACCTGTCCCTTGTGTGTCCAGCCTGGTGACCTGTCCCTTGTGTTCCCAGTCTGGTGACCTGTCCCTTGTGTGTCCAGTCTGGTGACCTGTCCCTTGTGTGTCCAGTCTGGTGACCTGTCCCTTGTGTGTCCAGTCTGGTGACCTGTCCCTTGTGTGTCCAGCCTGGTGACCTGTCCCTTGTGTTCCCAGTCTGGTGACCTGTCCCTTGTGTGTCCAGTCTGGTGACCTGTCCCTTGTGTGTCCAGTCTGGTGACCTGTCCCTTGTGTGTCCAGTCTGGTGACCTGTCCCTTGTGTTCCCAGTCTGGTGACCTGTCCCTTGTGTTGCCAGTCTGGTGACCTGTCCCTTGTGTTGCCAGTCTGGTGACCTGTCCCTTGTGTGTCCAGTCTGGTGACCTGTCCCTTGTGTTCCCAGTCTGGTGACCTGTCCCTTGTGTGTCCAGTCTGGTGACCTGTCCCTTGTGTTCCCAGTCTGGTGACCTGTCCCTTGTGTGTCCAGTCTGGAGACCTGTCCCTTGTGTTCCCAGTCTGGTGACCTGTCCCTTGTGTTCCCAGTCTGGTGACCTGTCCCTTGTGTGTCCAGTCTGGAGACCTGTCTTTTGTGTTCCCAGTCTGGTGACCTGTCCCTTGTGTTCCCAGTTTTGTGGTATCGCTGACCTGTCCCTTGTGTGTCGAGTCTGACCTGTCCCTTGTGTTCCCAGTCTGGTGACCTGTCCCTTGTGTTCCCAGTCTGGTGACCTGTCCCTTGTGTTCCCAGTCTGGTGACCTGTCCCTTGTGTGTCCAGTCTGGAGACCTGTCTTTTGTGTTCCCAGTCTGGTGACCTGTCCCTTGTGTTCCCAGTTTTGTGGTATCGCTGACCTGTCCCTTGTGTGTCGAGTCTGACCTGTCCCTTGTGTTCCCAGTCTGGTGACCTGTCCCTTGTGTTCCCAGTCTGGTGGCATCGCTGACCTGACCCGTGTGTTCCCAGTCTGGTGCATCGCTGACCTGTCCCTTGTGTTCCCAGTCTGGTGACCTGTCCCTTGTGTTCCCAGTCTGGTGACCTGTCCCTTGTGTTCCCAGTCTGGTGACCTGTCCCTTGTGTTCCCAGTTTTGTGGTATCGCTGACCTGTCCCTTGTGTGTCGAGTCTGACCTGTCCCTTGTGTTCCCAGTCTGGTGACCTGTCCCTTGTGTTCCCAGTCTGGTGGCATCGCTGACCTGTCCCTTGTGTTCCCAGTCTGGTGACCTGTCCCTTGTGTTCCCAGTCTGGTGACCTGTCCCTTGTGTGTCCAGTCTGGTGACCTGTCCCTTGTGTGTCCAGTCTGGTGACCTGTCCCTTGTGTGTCCAGTCTGGTGACCTGTCCCTTGTGTTCCCAGTCTGGTGACCTGTCCCTTGTGTGTCCAGTCTGGTGACCTGTCCCTTGTGTGTCCAGTCTGGTGACCTGTCCCTTGTGTGTCCAGTCTGGTGACCTGTCCCGTGTGTGTCCAGTCTGGTGACCTGCCCCGTGTGTGTCCAGTCTGGTGACCTGCCCCTTGTGTGTCCAGTCTGGTGACCTGTCCCTTGTGTGTCCAGTCTGGTGACCTATCCCCTGTGTTCCCAGTCTTGTGGCATCGCTGACCTGTCCCTTGTGTGTCCAGTCTGGTGACCTGTCCCTTGTGTCTGGTGACCTGTCCCTTGTGTCTGGTGACCTGTCCCTTGTGTGTCCAGTCTGGTGACCTGTCCCTTGTGTGTCCAGCCTGGTGACCTGTCCCTTGTGTTCCCAGTCTGGTGACCTGTCCCTTGTGTTCCCAGTCTGGTGGCATCGCTGACCTGACCCGTGTGTTCCCAGTCTGGTGCATCGCTGACCTGTCCCTTGTGTTCCCAGTCTGGTGACCTGTCCCTTGTGTTCCCAGTCTGGTGACCTGTCCCTTGTGTTCCCAGTCTGGTGACCTGTCCCTTGTGTTCCCAGTTTTGTGGTATCGCTGACCTGTCCCTTGTGTGTCGAGTCTGACCTGTCCCTTGTGTTCCCAGTCTGGTGACCTGTCCCTTGTGTTCCCAGTCTGGTGGCATCGCTGACCTGTCCCTTGTGTTCCCAGTCTGGTGACCTGTCCCTTGTGTTCCCAGTCTGGTGACCTGTCCCTTGTGTGTCCAGTCTGGTGACCTGTCCCTTGTGTGTCCAGTCTGGTGACCTGTCCCTTGTGTTCCCAGTCTGGTGACCTGTCCCTTGTGTGTCCAGTCTGGTGACCTGTCCCTTGTGTGTCCAGTCTGGTGACCTGTCCCTTGTGTGTCCAGTCTGGTGACCTGTCCCGTGTGTGTCCAGTCTGGTGACCTGCCCCGTGTGTGTCCAGTCTGGTGACCTGCCCCTTGTGTGTCCAGTCTGGTGACCTGTCCCTTGTGTGTCCAGTCTGGTGACCTGTCCCTTGTGTGTCCAGTCTGGTGACCTATCCCCTGTGTTCCCAGTCTTGTGGCATCGCTGACCTGTCCCTTGTGTGTCCAGTCTGGTGACCTGTCCCTTGTGTCTGGTGACCTGTCCCTTGTGTCTGGTGACCTGTCCCTTGTGTGTCCAGTCTGGTGACCTGTCCCTTGTGTGTCCAGCCTGGTGACCTGTCCCTTGTGTTCCCAGTCTGGTGACCTGTCCCTTGTGTGTCCAGTCTGGTGACCTGTCCCTTGTGTGTCCAGTCTGGTGACCTGTCCCTTGTGTGTCCAGTCTGGTGACCTGTCCCTTGTGTGTCCAGTCTGGTGACCTGTCCCTTGTGTGTCCAGTCTGGTGACCTGTCCTCTGTGTGTCCAGTCTGGTGACCTGTCCCTTGTGTTCCCAGTCTGGTGACCTGTCCCTTGTGTGTCCAGTCTGGTGACCTGTCCCTTGTGTGTCCAGTCTGGTGACCTGTCCTCTGTGTGTCCAGTCTGGTGACCTGTCCCTTGTGTTCCCAGTCTGGTGACCTGTCCCTTGTGTGTCCAGTCTGGTGACCTGTCCCTTGTGTTCCCAGTCTGGTGACCTGTCCCTTGTGTGTCCAGTCTGGTGACCTGTCCCTTGTGTGTCCAGTCTGGTGACCTGTCCCTTGTGTGTCCAGTCTGGTGACCTGTCCCTTGTGTGTCCAGTCTGGTGACCTGTCCCTTGTGTTCCCAGTCTGGTGACCTGTCCCTTGTGTGTCCAGCCTGGTGACCTGTCCCTTGTGTGTCAAGTCTGGTGACCTGTCCCTTGTGTTCCCAGTCTGGTGACCTGTCCCTTGTGTGTCCAGTCTGGTGACCTGTCCTCTGTGTGTCCAGTCTGGTGACCTGTCCCTTGTGTGTCCAGTCTGGTGACCTGTCCCTTGTGTTCCCAGTCTGGTGACCTGTCCCTTGTGTGTCCAGTCTGGTGACCTGTCCCTTGTGTGTCCAGTCTGGTGACCTGTCCCTTGTGTGTCCAGTCTGGTGACCTGTCCCTTGTGTGTCCAGTCTGGTGACCTGTCCTCTGTGTGTCCAGTCTGGTGACCTGTCCCGTGTGTGTCCAGTCTGGTGACCTGTCCCTTGTGTGTCCAGTCTGGTGACCTATCCCCTGTGTTCCCAGTCTTGTGGCATCGCTGACCTGTCCCTTGTGTTCCCAGTCTGGTGACCTGTCCCTTGTGTTGCCAGTCTGATGACCTGTCCCTTGTGTGTCCAGTCTGGTGACCTATCCCCTGTGTTCCCAGTCTTGTGGCATCGCTGACCTGTCCCTTGTGTTCCCAGTCTGGTGACCTGTCCCTTGTCTTCCCAGTCTGGTGGCATCGCTGAAGTAGTCTGGCAATGGTCAATCGGCTGCAACCGACCGTTCTTGCAATAACGACCCGCGTCCTCTCTCTCTCTCTCTCTCTCTCTCTCTCTCTCTCTCTCTCTCTCTCTCTCTCTCTCTCTCTCTCGGTTCTTCTAATAACCCATTTCTGGTGTCCCCCGCCGTGATATTGCTGGAATATTGCTCAAAGCGGCGTAAAACCATACTCACTCACTCACTCACTCACTCTTCTAATAACCTTAAAATGTGTATAGATACTGTTATGAGCTGTGTTGCTTTAAGATCCAACTTCTCGGTTTTTATACCCGCTATGCATTTTCATCTCGTATATAATCAACAAACCTGTTTTATACAAAATTCACACTGTCAACTTTCTAACATTTGATATTGGGTTTGTTTCGACAATCGTTTTCAACCTGATGTCACTTTCCTTCAGCTAAGGTATTAAGACTTATTTCCAATCTTATAATGTGTACTTTCCTTTGATAGTCAGATTAATCTGATATCTGTTTACGTGTGCCTGAGTGGTGTGGCAATCGCGGTTGTTTATATTGATGTGTTTTAGCTTGTTTTTTAGCCTCTGTTTGCAATGGCACACATGAACGCAGACACAGGCCCATTATAAGTCAACGTGTCTGTTCCTTTGTTTAGGTATGTTCACTCCTTGCACCCTCTTTCAAAGTCTTCAGTCCACCTCGGCCAAGAGGCGAGTGTGACTAATATTTGTTCAGTGTAGGAGCGTGTCAGCAGCTTTGTAGTGGGCTGTTTATGAGCAGTTTACTTCAAGTTTGTCTTTGAGCGTGTCTGTTGCGCAGTGTAGTATGCGTGGTAGACTGAGCTTCTTGTTCCCTTTCCGAGTTGAGCGTGGTTGCAGAATATTTGCAAGTTTCGCTGTTGTGTTGGTGTGTGGTTTTGATTCTGTTATAGATTCATTGAATTATTCACACAATGGTAAGTGTTATTGTAGTTATGTTTATCTTGTTCTGAGCATTGAGAAAATGAGAACTTGACGTTAATGTCTAGATTGTCCTTGTGGGATGCTGGAACTGTTGTTGTGTCAGATGTGTAAATACAGGCGACAACACCCCTTTCCACATACGAAATTTCTGTACAAGTCATATCTCTAAATAAATTATGAACTATCAACTATTAACCATAACTCAACAGAGAACGTACGTTGACAACTGCCTTTTCTAAAAGTATATTCCATGCTTGTCACATTTCCAAACCTACCTGGTCTTTGGCCGAACAGACGACGGCTAGGTTGCTACTGTTGATCGGGTGGTCAGGCTGGTTGATTGCTTGAATTCGTACCCCAACGACATTGATAGTTGCTCATGATATCAACCACTTGTTTTGTCTGGCCCAGATTGGATTATTACAGCCGAGCGTGATGCCGCTGGATTATTAAGGTGCGGCGTAATATAACTATCAAAATAACAAAACACCAGGTGATCATATAAATAAGTATTTATTTAGGTCCTTGAAGTTATCTATCTGTTGTTTCTTTCTTTTACTTTGTAAACCAAACAGGAACTGGATAGCATACTCCGATCACTTACGAGTTTATTGCAACACATGGAATTTATGTGCGCCATAACGCCTTATCACACACGTCCGTGCACTTAGACAGCTGTAAATGAAGGGTTGGTCCACTTATCTTAAACTGAATTACCTGTGTGTAATGCTTCAAAGCTATTAAATAAAGGCGGATATAAATCACATGCTTTTAGTAGTGGGGGTAACAATCAATTCGCTTTTTGGTATACAGGTCCATATACAACGGTATGTACAAAGCTGGCTGATGTACTAGAGGGTCACTACACTACTGCGGTAAGTACTTGTTTCTTACATTTTCATATGTAGGTAAAATAAACCTAAAACGGTATTCATTTTCGATTATAATGTAACAAAATGGGCATGACCTTAAGGATTTCTCAATAGATGAATTTTTGTTTGTTATTTTTAGATCATTCATGCCAAGTCTGAAACGAACAATGATGTTTCGAAAATTCCTGTACCGTATGTTTGACAAATAAGATTCTGGTTCAAACAAGGACTTGATTTGATGATAAGTATCATGTCTTGAACTTCCGTAAATATCTGAATGCCATTCCTGATGAGGCATTTCATGTGAAAGTACTAAAATAAATAAACAACATTATTAATTGTTTGGGACAGCCAGATGAAACCAAAGTCATCATGTAAAATGCAATGTGCGTATGCAAGAAGCCCATGTACTCTTACAAAGATTATCCAGATGTACGAGCATGAAACAAGCTTTGTAAGCATACTGTAAGTTGTTTTTAAATGTAAACGCTAATAAAAAGAAACGTTTTCTCAAAAAGACTTTTAGTTGGCGACTTCCATGACGGAAACAGTCGCTTCTGTGGCTGGGATACAAAGTAAGACTGTAACACACTCTCTTAAATAAAGCGACAAAACCCAAGAGAGTCCATTGTGCGATTTCCCATAATAAGGGGCCTAGTGACGTAGAAGCGAGTGACGGAACACTGTCGACACGCGTTTGAAGTTAATATTAACAACCAATGCCAAGTCATTTTGAATTTATTATTGTACTGTTATACATGAATCAACATGTGTATAAATTGTCGAAGGGTGAATGCCGCTTAAACGAACTATTATGAAATGCGACTTCGCTTCTGTTATAAGAGTCAACTGTTTTTTGTCCTTTTAGCTTCTTATTTAAAACTAGACGATGGGGAATACTCGTAAAAACAATAACTACTGTTGCTGAGGTGAAAACGAGACTCGTCAGAGAATAGAACTTGTCCCCACTGCATGGCCGTCCAGAGTAGACGCTGTCTGCATCACTATAGACGTGCTTGACGGTGGTTTCCTGTCAAAATCGGACGTCTGGCGGGTCTTCTGGCGACAATCCCTGCACATCTGAGGCGACGACGTACGGTTAATGAAGATATTCGTCTAAGGCCAGGGATGCGTCTTGCAGTCACTGTTGCTGGCTGGAATCGAATTCGTAGGTGTGTTGTTCAAATCCAGTTGTCTTGTCGATTATTGGTTACGCGTGGCCTGCCACGTTGACATGAACACCAAATGGTGTTTCTGTGGACGTTAAGTTGTCTTGTAACATCCCGTTGACTCGATCCTGCTTCAAGCATACCAATGGCCCGCGGACGCTCATTTTCGGACAGGCGTGGCATATTGTAATGTTGAATAATTGCGTAATTATGTTGTTTTTTCTAAATGGTTGTTGTCAGTACGATGCTAAACAATGCATATGGATTCCCTTTAACGCACATGTTTTTATACCCATTCTTGGGTAGTGAAATGCATGGGGCTTGCATAAAAGTCAACTTTTGCATGGAATGCATGCTTTTCTGTAGTAGTTGAAAACCAAACTGTACTTATTTGAAAAACACACTAAAATAATGTAATCACAGGAACTTTTGTTGTTGAGTATATTATATGAATACCCTTCACTTATTTCACTCTGTCTGTCTTAATGAATTTTCCACGTTAATGGTAATATGACTCAAGGTAAAATGGTATAAAACATTGTTTTCCTATTTGCTAACACGAGTAACGTATTTGTAATATTGTGGAATATGTTATGCATACCTATAAATATGCTCAGTTCAAATGTTAAACATGATAAACATTTCCAAAGTTCTTTAATAAAATACCTGTCATTTTACAAGGCGTATCCTACCTTTTACAGACAATTTTAAATAAACAAATCAGTAGGAAAACTACCAAGATGCAGCAGACTGCGTCAGCCGTGCAGACAACAGACGCTACGGCGTTTGTCAATGGCCAATACTTATTTCCAGATGCTATGAACGTAAACCCTGAAACAATCATATCTACAACACAACAGATAAAAAACAATATACACGTATTAAAAGAGATATACACATACAAATAAGATAAGACACAATAGGTGCCATTGATGTAAATGTACTGGCTATTGTGGTCGGTATTTGGTACTTTCAAGTAAACACATACTTGTTATGAGCAAGTAAATACATGTACATTTCAAAGGTAGTTTTGTCTCGATATAAAACCAAATGCATACACTACATATACAAAGTTAACAATAGGCCCAAAGGGCCTGTATCGCTCACCTTGGTATTTACACAATCATGACAAAAATATACATATACAAAAATTGTACATGTATATAATACTGCAAATATTTCGTAATTTTGACTTAGTAAGCATTTAAAATAGGTGGATGACAAATCTGACAGCATGAACGTGTATTTCTCTTGATACAAAAAGAGCATAAAGACCTGAACCGTTTCCATGTTATGATCCAGGATCTAAGTTTCCAGGGGCAAGGCTGGACCCCAGGGCGAATCCAATTGGCATAATTGCATTATTCTCTTCATAACAAACAAGTGTATACAATGTATCTACATATTATAGGGTGGGGATAATATCAGTTTGCATGTTATGGTCAAGGTTCTAACTCCTTTGTGAGTGTCTGACAGATGAACAGCAGGGCCAGTCCTGGTAGCATATGTGCATTCCTCTCATTATACTCAGCAATTGTACCAATGGTTATACGGCGGGAATCTTAACTGTGTCAAAGTTATAAACTCTTTTTGGCCTCGACCCTCAGCCCCTAGGGGGGTCAGCCCCTCCATTTGTACAATTATGAATTCCCACCACCTGAGAATACTTCCAACCAAATATGGTTGATGTTTATCTCTTCGTTCCAGAGAAGAAGTCGATTAAAGCAATATTACCAAATTACCTTTTTAGCCCCGCCCCTCAGTCCCCGGGGGTGGGGTAGAGATTCAGCCCCTCCATTTCACCAATTTTAATCCCCACATTGGAGAATGCTACCAACCAAATATGGTTGAGATCTATCTCTTAGTTCCAGAGAGGAAGTCGTTTAAAGCAATAACACCAAATTAGCCCTATTTTTTGTTTTAGCAGTGTTTACCTTGAGTTTCCAATGATTACAATAGTTTTTCAAATACGTTTAAACATAGTTTCAGGTCGGAAGGTGTCTCGGACATTAGGATTGTATCATCCGCACAAAGAATTACCAATAGCTTAATAAAACATCCAATTTCTTTTAGAACATAATCGTTAACTTTTTCAAGCCCAATAACGTCGTTATCTGACAAAAAGGTCATTTAGATAAAGGGCAAAGAGAAATAGCGATACGTTTTCACCTTGCCTGACTCCTATGTTACAAGGAAAGAATTCAGTGACACTACCATTATGAGAAACACATGATTTTATGTGTTTGTACATGTTTTGATAACATTAAAGCATTTACCAGTGATATTACTTTAAATCATTTTGTACCATAGGCCACAACGCCAGACCGTATCGAAGGCCTTACTAACATCAACAAAAACACAATACAGCCTCTTATTATGGTTTACGTATACATCTACGAGTGCTTTTAAAATAAACTGACGTCCAAGAGAAACTTTACCAACTGAAAATATAAATTTCAGACAAAGTATAAATTTTCTTTCGATGAAGTCTATCTAAAACACATAACCTAAATACAACAATAGTGTATGCAGAAGATGTTAATCGTCTGTTACATGTTTGCGAGATAAACACGTGCACCACGGACAACTGCAAATGCGCGTGCGGGTAAGGGTATAAAACGATTGCAACGGCAAGTCAGACATCCACAGTGATAAAAAAAAACACACAAAAGAAATGCCACGACTCACAGTCGAACAACGTGAACGAGCCTTGGGTATGGTACAGATGGGAGCAACCCACGCCCATATTGCACGAACCTTCGGTTGCTCCCGTGTTGCCGTTACCAACTTGATGCAACGTTACAGACAGACAGGGCGGACCGCTGACAGGCCAAGAACAGGCAGACCCAGGATGACCACGCCCCATGATGACCGGTACTTGCATACCTTGCACCTCCGAAATCGCTTCCTCACAGTGATTTCATCGGCGACAAATGCCTTAGGTCACAGGGTTAGTTGACAGACAGTGGCTAGGAGACTCAGGGCTTTTAGACCATACAGAGGACAGCTATTGACAGCGCAACATCGTCGTCTGCGATTGAGATGGGCCCGGACTGTACGGCGTTGGCAACGACGTGACTGGCAGAGGGTTGTCTTCACTGACGAATGTTTAGGGCTGACGGAAGACAACGTGTTTACCGCCGAAGGGGTGAACGAACGGCGGCGTGTTGCGTGCAGGAGGTCTTACCATATGGTGGAGGGAGTGTCATGGTGTGGGGAGGGATCTGTGGGCAGGAGAGGACACCGCTGGTCATCGTTGACGGAAACTTGACAGCTCAGCGGTACATTGATAACATCCTTCGTCCAGTTGTCCTACCGTTTCTCCAACAGCAGCCACGTGGTGTCATTTATCAGAATGAGAACGCTAGAGCCCCTACAGCCAGAATTGTCACTAACTTCCTCGCAGCCAACAACGTCAACGTCCTGCAGTGGCCTGCACGCTCATCCGACATGTTCCCCATAGAACACCTCTGGGACTTGATGGATCATCGTGTTCGACAACGACCACACTCTCCAGCCAACCGGCAAGAACTGATCTTGGCCCTCCAAGAAGAATGGCGTCAAATCCCACGTGACCTCATCAGACGACTGACTTTTTCTGTGCGTCGAAGAGTTGTTGCGTGTATTGAGGCATTTGGTGGTCACACACGATACTAATGGAATGACTTGTTATTGATCGTGAGCGATTGTTTATGTACTCTGCCTATTGTCCATGATTCTGAAAGCTCGAGTTTTGTACCACAGCCAACTTTGGGGGGCTCTGACGTCTTTCTCGGTCGCGGTATGATTGTCATTTTCAGTGCATCATTTGCTTGATCAAGGTGGGTGTACTCCTAATGACGCTATCATTACTAACATGGAATGTACGTGGAGTTCTCCACGGTACGGACTATATTCGTCAGACATTGTCTCGACCTGTTGATGTTGTGGCCCTACAGGAGCATTGGCTGCCTGCAAATTGAATGTCTAAATTAAATATGTTTCAGGATCTAAATTTGATATCCTATAATGCTGTTTCTCCGGAAACATGCTTTTCGGGGATCAGATGTACTAGCAATCTTAGTTAATAGCAACAGCGAGTGGAAAGCTCACACTATCACTGTAAGCACAGACCACGCAATAGCTATCAAAATAACTCGGCGACACTTCTGTGATATTTATGTAATAGCATGTCGCCTACCTTCAACTAATGTACTACATTCTGTGTATTGTGACGCCCTTAACGAACTCATAGATATGTATGATGATCTCTGTGAACAGGGTGTTACCTTTATCCTTGGTGATCTTAATGCAGATATTTGTAAGCACAATCTCTCTGCCAGGGATAAGCTAGTTAGCACTGCTATATCTGATAGACACCTCCTACACACCATTAGTGAGCTCGCAACCCATTTCCCACGTTATACATGTAGATCCAAGGGTAACACCTTAAAGAGTATGATTGACTATATCCTGGTACCCTCGTGGATAAAAGACCCTGTTACCGATCTCCATGTTATAGATACATGCCCTTATACGGTGTCAGATCATCTCCCATGTTTATTATCTATGTCATTGAGAGCCTTTGGTCGAAATAATCTCAATATTAACCCCCCTGTTCCAAAATGGAACAAAGCAAGTCAAGATGATATACTCATGTACCAGTGTGAATTTGGTACATATCTTAACTCCTTTCACGACTGTAATCTGTCTTGTCAGCCTGAAAATGTTGATACATATAGCGACCATATAAGTAAATGCCTTTTACTTGCAAGTTCCAAATGTATCCCTAAATGTGAATATAAACCTTATCTTAAACCAATCTGGAAACCTGATGGACTAAATGATGCACATTACCGTATGAGGGCTGCTCGACGTGCATGGCTAAATAACGGTAAACCCAGGGACGAAAACTCGGAATCGCGCATCTCTTATAAAACTGAAAAGAGACACTTCAGGCGCCTCTATCGAAACTCGAAAAGGTCCAACAAAAAGAATACCCTAAGGGAAATTGAGAGGTCAGCTGAACTTGATATAAATTCTTTTTATAAAACTGTTAGAAAACAACGAGGGCGGGTGGCCGAGATACCTATAACTATAAGGATGAATGTGGTTCTACAACCTCAGCTATTTGCAGATTATGGGGTAAATATTTTTCAGATTTAGCCAAACCCTACCATTCCGAAGGATTTGATGATGTATTTAAAGAAGATATAACTAGTAAGGTACAGATATTTAAACAAGTTCGAGAGAGGCCTGATGAGGAATTGGAAAAAGAATTTACATGTCAAGAGATAAGAGAGGCCGTCAAATCCCTCAGCAGGAATAAATCCCCAGGTCCGGATAAGATTACAAATGAACATATTATCTATGCAGGAGAAAATCTTATTTATTCCTTACGTATACTTTTTAATCATATGATGAAACTACAATATGTACCCTATGATTATAGACTTGGTATGGTCATACCAATATATAAGGGGAAGAATGAAAAATCTGACCCTCGAAATTATAGCCTGAGGCATTACTCTCACATCATGTCTCTGTAAGCTCTTTGAAAAAATACTGCTCAAACGTATAGAAGACAAACTATGTAGGCTTAACCCAGACTTTCCTGATATGCTACAGTTTGGTTTTAGAAAAGAACATCGAGCTATTATGTCAGTATTTACTTTGATCGAAGGCATTCAGTATTACATACAAAGGGACTCTGCAGTCTATGCAGCTTAGATAATGAAAAAGCATTTGACAGGATATGGCACGATGGATTATTTTACAAAGTACATAAACTTGGCATTAGAGGTAATACATGGAAATTACTACATCATTGTTATACAAATAGTTATGCTTATATTTCCTACCAAGGTGAACAATCAGACAGATATATGGTTCAACAAGGTGTTGGCCAAGGCGGAGTAATCTCTGCTTGGTTTTTTCTTGTTTTTATAAATGACCTCATTACAGCCCTTAGACATGCACAATGTGGCATTCGTGCATATGGTATGGATATTCCTGCAGTCTTGCTTGCCGACGATACTACACTTATTAGCGCATCACCGAGAGGCTTACAAACATCCCTTGATATTGTACATACATATGCCTCAAGGTGGCGCCTAACATATAATCCATCAAAAAGTGCAATAATTGAGTTCACCAAAGCAAAACGCAAGGGATATAACTGTCATTACCTTTGTAGATACCTTTGTACTGGTGGCTACACCTACCGAGTTGGACCTGGATCTCTTGGAGTGAGTGAGTTGGGTTTAATGTCGCTTTTAACAGTATTCCAGTTATATCGCGGCGTGTCAGCTTAATGTGGGAGGAAAGCCCGAAGTGATGCAGATCTCAGACGTTTATCACTTCGGTGAAACCCGCGAGCACGGGTATGGGGCTGACAAACCTAGAAACATAATTGGGTTCGAACCGGGATTCGAACCCACAATCATAGGTTTCTGGCGTGCCCAAGGGACGCAGCTCTGCACAGCGAATCGCGGCGCCTCAGACGACTGGACCACCCGTGCCCCCTGGATCTCTTGGAAGTACACCAACAAAGACTGTCGTTCCACAGTATCGACAGTCAATGACATCATGACGAAAGAGTCAAGTCCTCCAGGTAAAACAGACTAGATTACTGTACGAGATGGCGATGACAACAAGATCCTTGGCTTCAGTACCATCAGCAACCTGCGATTTCTGTGTGCGGCCGACACCATCTACGGAGATGGAACCTTTTACGTTACTCCACGTCTCTTCTACCAGCTGTACACCATCCACGCCTTCGTCGCCAACAAGATGGTGCCCCTGGTATTCCTGTTGCTGCCAGACAAGAAGAAGGAGACCTACGACAGAGCCTTCCGCCTGGTCAAGGATGCTGCTGAGAACCGAGGGTTCCAGCTACTGACCCAAACAATACAGGTAGGACAAATGTGTTTATTTGGGGTGTATATTTTAGTGTAATGTGATTTATGAAACCTGTCCATATTAGCGCATATACCAAGTTTTTATTTATATTTTTCTATTTTCAGATGGATTTTGAAGCAGCGACAAAGATAGTACCAGGCCGGCCAGCGTCTCCCACCAAAAGAGAAGAAGTTCTGTGAGATACAAGGCAGAATCGATTAACTGAAGACCAGACTGATCTAGAATGAAGTCAGCGTAATTTTCTGACTGACTCAGTGTCTCATCTTCTTCTGTCCTAATTGCCCATAACTTTTACGTCATCTTGTACATACATGTATACATTCAAATTATTTGTAAAAACAAATCAATATTCCACCCTCATTGTCTTTCTTTCGTTCGTTTCAAATCCATTTCCACTTTTTTACTTGCTCGAGTTGTTAAAATAACACTCGATACCCATTGTTTAACTAGATTGGCGGATTAAAATATTCGCAGGACGACGACCTCACTTTTTGCTAGTTTGTTTTCATACGACACAGGGGGTCGTCGTCCTGAGAATGAACCCAATAGTCCACTGTACTGGCGTCCTTACAGGTTAACTTCCCGTGTTCCTTATCATAGCCGAGACGGCCATTAACGATATAAATTCCAGTGTTCTTACATAAGTCTAACAGCTTCCTCCCGTAGTTGTTTGAGTGAGATAGATTTTAGATTTTCAAGCACTTGAATACTCGAATATAATATATAACCTTCAATATTGTCTTTCGTCACGAAAAACTCATCGATTTTTACAAAATCATGAAAATTCTTAGTTCTTGCATTAAAGTCACCCGCTACGCAAATATAGTCAGAATGAGTAGAGAAGTTGACTATAATCATCCAAGAAAGTGGTCAGGTGAGGCGTATCGACTGTTCTCGGGGGTATGTAGACACATCCAAGATATGCGTCATTATCTACAGGGAGTAGGTCTTTTGAGAGCAGACACCATGTTATTATGTCGTTTGATTTGTCTAATACATGCACATGTTTCTCAACAGACTGACGAACAATCCAGAATAATTTCTGTTTAATAGTTCAAAATATATTTCCAAAAACATAAACCGAAGCCTCAGCGGTAAACTTTTATTTACAAATTATAGAATTCTTGCATAAAAATGTTCAGTACAGTACCCACTTATCTTGGAGTGTGGAAGTTACTACTGTGGAAAATAAAGGCATTTTATTGAATAGAAATAGAAGCGACAAATCCCTTTAATAATCATAAGAAATATCTATCAAAAGCAAAGTTTATTGTACTATTCCGATTGCATCACGTGTTTCTCAATCTCTATCAAATGGTATGAAACCATTTTCATATTCATAAGAAATCTTTGTGAAAAGCAGAAAGGCAGAAAACAAAGTGCCTTATTGTTTGGATTTGGAATCGTGTATCTTCACGGCCACATATCCAGCAGTTACGACAACCGTAGCAACTGCAGCACACGTTGCGACATGTTTAACAGTTCCAGGTTCACAATTTGCCGCTGCTACTGTTACGTCTTTGTACTTCACTGCAAAATTCTCCCCAGTATCCTTGCCCTTGTCCTTGTCCTTGTCCTTGAAAACAAATAATAACATTAGGGTGTTTTTATTATACAACTGTGATACCCGTCAGATTGCTGTAAGGTATTACGTATACATCATATGTCACTACGCTGCACACAGTTACTGACTGACATTATTTGATGACCTCTGTTACCCATTGTGCGTGGCATCACAAGGAATAAAAAACGCCTGTATGCCTGCACGTGAGAAGCGAGAAGTAATATCACAAAGATGTTCACGTCTGATGGTCTTCCCGCTAGTAATGATTGTGAAGCAAACACAACTTCTGAACTGACTGAACACACATGAATATGAATAATAGTCACATGTACACACGGCTATCTGCCATCTTGCACACTTGTTAAACACCAATGCTTAACATCAATGTCAATGATCCAGATAAATTGGCGTAAGAGGCGACTAACGAGATTGGATGGTCAGGCTCGCTGACTTGGTTGATGCATGTCATCGTATCCCAATTGCGTGGATCGATGCTCATGACGTCAATCACTGGATTGTCTGGTCCAGACTCGATTATTTAAAGATCGCCGTCATGTAGCTGGACTATTGCTGTGTGGGGCGTTAAACAACAAACAAACGGACGAACAATTGAGATAAATTGGATTATATTATATATATTGGATTATACAGGGTTAGTCCGTCCCAGTCAAGTCCCGTTAATCCGACATTGTTTGTTGCATATGATTATGTCGGATTAACGAGTATGTCGGATAAACGAAATTAGGTAGTATAAACGTTCGTGATCGAAAATTGGACAACTACACGATATATAACGATACAGACACGTAGGAAAATGAAAAATGAAATATTCATATTGTTGTGTTACATTGTCAGCGGAATTTGTTTTCTAATCATGCAACCACTAAAGTTTAACACAAGACTACTGTTGTGGACTGTATGACTGATTCAAAATTGACTGATTTTTAAAACATAGTCAGGAATGGAAGTCGCTTATTTGAAACTAGTGACGCAATGCTTAAGGAAGCTGCTATCTTAGTGGCTAATGTCGACTTCCTGTAAGTAATTTCATTCGTCGGCCATAGTTCGCGAAAGGTCGTTCTGACGTGACATGTAGTGGTAGCGAGAACGTGTATCCGAGTTAAATGAGATTGAGGTAATCTAGACATGAGATTAATCCTGTTTTCTTTTTTTAAAGCAGTAATTGTTTATTGTTAAGCAAGTTTATCTCTGCAGCCGTTGAAATATGCAGCTACTCGCCGACTCGTCTCGCATCAAAACACGGGGCTCTGTACTCGCGGGCAGATGACCACGGAGAACGCTTATTACTGTGTCGGATTAACGTGACTGATTAATGAGTGATTTCAGCAATTCGTTGCAAATTAGGGTGTGTCGGAGTCGGAGTGCGAGACTGTCGGATTAACGGGTCTAAATAGCACTGATTTACCCGGTTCCCACCATTTGTGTCGGATATAGCCGATTGTCGGATTAACGAGTGTCGGATTAACGAGTCATGACTATATATATATACAATATATATATTGTATATTTGTACACATTTACCCTAAAATTCTGCCATAGTAAATGAAAAATATAGCCTTGGACATCTGGAAGAAACACATCAGATGCATGTTTTCCAAAACCGGAAGTGATGCCATTTAACCGGGGTTGCGCATGGCTGCGTTATTTAGGTGAGTGAATTAGTGAGTGATTATGGTTTTACGCCACTCTTTCAGTTTCGAACCTGTACTGCATTTGGCTTGTGTTTCCCCAAACAGGAAGTAATGTTGTCAAACCGAAAGTACTTATAACTCAATTATTAAGGTAGTGAGAGGACTTTCTGTTTATATAGTTGTATTAAACAACTTTATTTAATAACTTCCGTTTTCGGAAGCCAAAAAATATGGTTCAAGCTACGAAAGGTGTTAGTTCTTCCAGTTTGGATTATGTTACCTCCTGATGTTGGAAACACATTATTTCTCTATGAAAGCAGAATGTCCATGGTTCGAGTGAAAGACCGTAACAAAACGGGTTACAATACAACTTGTTTATATCAGATCTAGACACAAACTGGCGTTCCTACAATATCCCTTACTTCCACACAGGGAGCACGAGAGGCCCAGGTGTCTGAGGCGCCGCGATTCGCTGTGCAGAGTTGCGTCCCTTGCGCCAGAAACCTATGATCGTGGCTTCGAATGCTGGTTCTCCCCGATTATGTTTTAAGGCATGTCAGTACCATATCCGTGCTCGTGGGTTTCACCGAAGTGGTAAACGTCTGAAACCTGCATCACTTTGGGCTTTCCTCACACATTTATCTGACACGCCGCGATATAACTGGATTACTGTTAAAAGCGGCAAACCCAACTCACTCACTCACTACTTCCACACTTGATATCATAGCGACTTATACAAAACAGTCGATCAGTTACTGTCACTTACCAGTTACCTACTGTTATAGGGCAGTATAATTTATTGTTCAACAATGTTGTAACTGTCTTACCTTCTTTCTGTTGAGATTTTGACAATGGTTAGTTGTCAGGAATGTAGTATTATCTAATGTAAGCAGAGCCGTGGCAGTTACTATGTTTACATGGTTTTGGAGTTTGTAATCTGGAATCTTTAACAGCTATACACGATAATCAAGACCAGCGGTTGTATGAAGATCGTGTTTTCACCCTGGATATCCAGCCTCGGCCTATTTTGGGAGCTTGTCGAAGGTGTCACCTAACACTTACTAACATTAGAATGTCCAAACTCACTGACAGTCTTACATTTGTTGTCACTTCCACTAACTAGAGTTATCTCCCGAACACAAGCTCAGTTTGAAGCAAATTAGTTTGTACTTCCGGTTTTAAAAATATATCACCCAGTATAAAAACGAAATCCCACAAAGAAATGTCTATCACTTTAAATATACAGTAGCGACAAAACCCTTTCCATATCCAAGTATCTGCATAGAGCATAGTTGATTGTACAATTCCGACTACATCACGAGCATGTGTTTAAGAATCACAATCAAATAGTAATGATACTAGGTGTTCGCGAATAGGTGAGCGTATCCTGCCCAACAAGTGGCACCCGTCACAAACACATGCGTAAGCCAGTCAACTGTTCACTTGAAAATACATGGTCAAAATGGGGAATTGCATCGGACATCATTTTTGTCACTGATGCGTCAATATTTGAAATTTCCTCCACATGTCTCCCTTAAACCTTTTTTTTGAAAGCTTACTGAGGCATAGAATGTTGTAAACTTGATTAAGTCATATGACGCTCTTTGAAATCTTGGTAGAAAGAGCATGCTCGATTGTATCTCAAAAGTTGCGAAATATAAACACCAAAGGCTGGAGCTGCGCTGGAATATTGCTCGACATGAAGGGAAAGTTGACTATTGGAAAGTTGAGGTCATTCCTCTTGTCATGCAGTCTTGTGGATAGTGTTTTGTCTCTCTGAATCTTTATGCATAGATCTAAATATGAAACAGATGAGGCGGTCTCACTGCTCCTCTTTTATTTCCAGTTCAGGTGGGTAAATCAGTGGAAGGGAATTGGCTATTTGATGTTTTATTGATGATATCAGATCATCGATATACCTGAAGCTTAAGCTAAACTTCTTCGCCAAATTACCTTGCTTTGACTTTGCAAATCCGAACAGAAATTCTGATTTATATACATAAAATAACAGATTAGCAAGAACGGGGAGCACATGTTCATTGAGTTATCCCCAAGATACAAACCCCACCCTCATTTGAACCTAAGACCACTTTGTTGTCTTGTGAACCCCCCGAAAATACACTTCCATTATTCCTATATAATAAAGGCGGTAGGTAATAATGGATTTCAAGGGGTTTTTTAAATGCATATACCCACTATAAATAAGACTTGCAAGACAACAATGCTCATGGCTCGAGGGTCGATGTAAAGGCATTGAAGGTATTATCATATTATACTGACTCTTCTTCAACATTTCAACGCAGCATGCAGTTTTTTTATACTCTCTCCAAAATTGTAGGGTTATTCGAAAATAACATGGGATTGCAGAAATTGGTCAAACATTCCTTTATGCAGCGTGGCATGGTCCGAATCAATCTCCTAATGACACTTTGAGGGAGTAACGGGTGGCCTTATCACAAACGTGCTCTATAGGAGAAAGGTCAGGACATAGCTGGCCACTGCATCTGGTGATGTTTTGCTGCTGCAGGTAGTCAGTTGCCATACGTGCACGGAGGGCACGAGCGTTATCGCCTTGAAAGACAAAACGTTGACCAGCATGGCACACAAACGGCACAACTATTCGCGCGAGTATACTGTCTCAAAAGTAGTGTCCAGTGACCCTTCCATGGACAATATGCAGTGGCTTTCTCTCAGTCATGGTGATCCCGCCCCATATCATGACCCATCACCAAATCTGTCATTTTGCCTTACGTTGACGTTCGCATGACATCAACCGATATCCCAATAGTCCAGGTTGAATCTGCACTCACCAGTGAAGGTCAATCGGCGATTACCACAGTTTTAAGGCTCTGAACACCATTGACGCCTGGCTAGAATGTGTCGATATTTTAAGGTTGACCAGTACAACACGTGGTCCCGAACATGCAGATTGGCTGCAAGTAGACGGTTTCTAATTGCGCGGTCAGTAACTTGGGAGGAACTCTGGTGGCAATGGTGCAAGAGAACAGCGATTCGATTTCGACTCCATTTCATAAAGATTAATAAATCGATCCTGGACTTGTGTTGTTGTTTTTGTGCACATTTGGTCATGCTGTGTCTGCAGAAATCTGTTAAAAAATCTGCTATCACAGACTTAGACGCATTGAACATATTGGCTACGTCCGTAGGCGACAAATGCCACCCTCTACGTTCCCCGAAATGGGGAAGGCATTGCAAGAGGAGAGGACAAGACTCCTCAAATTGACCATGTTACCCATCCATTATGATGACTCGATATCTCTTGGCATTTCTGTGAACATCTCTTATTAACGATTACCCCTTGTGTTTTAGGAAGGTATATGAAGAAGCAGAATTAAATCACACTGAACCGAATAATTGGGAGTCCCTTGGATCCCCACTTTTTTAAGTCCAGTTAAAACTCTAAATTTCAGTATATCTTCCTATGTTGCTCGGCCTGCACGTCTTTCACCATACAACACGCACATAGCTGTCATGGCTACGCCATAACAAACAACAATTCAAGCAATCAATAAGGCCTTTTCAAACATTAATCTCAAATACACATTTTCTTAATGCTGAAAGCAAAATAAATTCTATGTACCACGTAACACACTACACACCACTGTGTCCCAAATAACCTTTAAATAGACCCCCGAATCATGGATACCAAAAGGGGATTGGCAGCCTCGTTACTCGTACGAATACACACTGATGGTAATTTATGAAATTAAGACATCTAATAGTACAATCATACTCACCATTCTGTCTGTAATTCAGTGTATCGGTAACAGAATCAAAACCACAAAAGGACGGCACTGGTAAACTCCAACAAACAAATCCTTCAAGTTTTTCAAACGGGAACAAAAAGCTCAGTCTACCAGGCACAACTGCGCAATAGATACACCCAACGACAGAGTGTGCTGGAACAACTTGCACGGAAATAGCCGAACGGACAGAAAAAAAACCCAGCGTGTGTGGTAGTCGCCAAACAACGAATGTACACACACATTCCTCTTTTGGGGCTAACTGGACCGGAGAGGTTACCAATGTCTCCTCGTGTCGACTACATTACATGACTGTAAAAATATCTCATAAATCAATCAATGTTTTATTTGTAACCTGCCTTTGTTCCCCCCTTCAAAGGTTAGCATGTGCCCGGCCTTTCGTTTGGTGTAATGGCTTCTATAATGTGTGAGTATGATGGAAGACAATAATTTTGGGCTTTTTTAATATTCGTTAAGTTTTGATTACTGTAGTTGTTTTACGCAGCACAGGAAGGGTAATATAAGTAAGTCTAATGTGGAGATCTACAGACTTTGTTGAAAAAATATAGGCGTAGCAACCATATACTGTAAAACGTGAAATTAATGCGTCTCCAAAAGAATGCGACCGCTGGCCCCTAGCAAAAAATGCGACTCAATATGAATGCGACACCCCCTCCTTTCAAGCATCAGTGGATATTTATCTGAACAAAATGTCCTCTGTCAGGTTTACAGGAGAATCTTCACCTTAATCCAACCTTACATTAATCCAATCACACACCAAATAGCACCGCTTATTAGCGCTGAGTAGAGTACAGTCAAGTCTCGTTAATTAATCCGACACTCGTTAATCCGACAATCGGCTTTATCCGACACTAATGATGGGAACCGATTAAATCAGTGCTATTTAGACCCGTTAACCCGACAGTCTCGCACTCCGACTCCGACACACCTAATTTGCAACGAAATACCGAAATCACTCATTAATCAGTCTCGTTAATCCGACACAGTGATCAGCGTACTCCGTGGTCATCTGCCCGCGAGTACACAGCCAGTGTTTTGATGCGAGGCGAGTCGGCTGGTAGCTGCATATAACAAAGCTGCAGCGGTAAACTTACTTAACAATAAACATTTAATGCTTTAAATAAAGAAAACAGGATAATTCACATGCTTAGATTACCTCAATCTTATTAAAATCAGATACAAGTTCTCGCTATAGACGAGGACATCCCATTACAAGTCACGTCAGAACAACCTTTCGCGAACTATGACCTACCAATGAAATGACCAACAGGAAGTCGACGTTAGCCACTTAGAAAGCAGCTTTCTTAAGCTTTGGGTACCAGTTTCAAAGTTGGCCTCAGACCACAGTTATCCCCCCTAAGTTTTTTGTTAAAAAATGCATGCATGTACCTAAAAATAGGAAAAAAAAGAAAGAATTGATATACCGGACTGAAATTGATGTCTGTTGATAGTATATGTAATGACGAGACAGGAACACTTGCTTGTTCTGTCAATTTCCTTTTGGTTATGGAGTTATGGACTAATTAGAATTGCATTTGAAATGAATTCATGCCAAAAATGTACTCTCAAGTGCTATGGATGCAGCATGATTTCAAATGACTATAAGTCAAGCTGTGTATGAGTTAGGGATTCCAAATTTTCTGTGAGCCTTCAACAGTGTATGGGCTTAGTATTGATGAAGTTTTATTTGAATTGCATAGTTTTTTCTGTCCTGATAGGCCTCAGACCACAGTTATCCCCCCTAAGTTTTACCATGAACCGGAAGGAAAATAGGAGAATATAGTACCCTGTTTAAATGGGCTGTTCAGCCCATGGCAATTTTTTTGGAGTGACTTTACAGTGCCTTTCAGCAGGGGCCGTGACTTTACATGCTGGGACTACAACAGGTCAAGGTGCGCCAGGCCAGAATGCAAGTTTATTCATAAATGCTCCAATTGTGGCGAACAACATCCCGCCTATTCTTGCTTTCGCGCAAAGGGGGGTCGTAGACCCTCCAAACAACTTAACTCCACACAGGCAACCCATGCTAAAGGCACTGGCCCCAACTCCACTCATACTCACTAGATTAAAGCGACATTTGCAACTGTACAAGCATTCTAACCATGCCCATGCCATTTATTTATTACAAGGTTTGGAATCAGGTTTTCAACTGGAATATAGTGGGGCACGCCTAAGTCGTTGGTCTGAGAATCTACGCTCAGCCAGGGATCCCATTTTACAAGAGATAGTAGCTGCCAAATTGAAAAAGGAAGTAAAATTAGGTAGGGTGGCAGGTCCTTTTGAAACGCCGCCCCTGTTGAACCTACAAGTTTCACCCATCGATCTCGTACCCAAAAAGCAAACGGGTAAGAGTCAGTCCTTGCTGGGGACAGACGATTTTCGTTTAATACACCACCTTTCTTATCCTCAAGGCAGATAAATCAACGACAACATAGACAGCGAAGCATGCTCCGTGTCATATGCACGGTTCGACGAGGCTGTCAGTATGGTACAGCAACTTGGTCCGAATGCTCTACTTGCAAAATTTGATGTGAAATCGGCTTTCAGGATTATGCTGGTACACCTTCAGGACTTTGAGTTGCTAGGCTTGTGCTTTCAAGGTAAATACTACTTTGATAAATGCTTGCCGTTTGGCTGTTCCATATCATGCTCAATGTTTGAAAAATTCAGCACCTTTTTGCAATGGTGTGTCCAGCAAAAGTTGCCTAACGGCCAACTCATGCATTACCTTGATGATTTTCTCACAGGCGGAACTGCAGGAACAAAAGACTGTGGTGACAACCTTGATACATGTCTCAGTACTTTCCAGGAGCTGGGCGTACCCGTAGCACATGAGAAGACAGTAGGTCCTGCATCCTGCTTAACATTCCTAGGTCTTGAAATCGACACAGTCAGGATGCAGGTTAGAATACCACAGGAAAAGATTGTAAATATCAACGCAATCATACACGATATGCTGGCCTCAGGTAAGCACAAAGTGACCCGTAAAGCTTTGCAGTCTCTGGTGGGTAAGCTAAATTTCATGTGCCGGGCAATACCCATGGGTAGACCGTTTTGCCGCAGACTGATTGATGCCTATACAAAGGTAAGTCATCAAGCACACCGTGTTCGCATCACGCGGGGAGTTCAGGAGGACCTAGAGGTTTGGCTCGGGTTCTTGGGGGAATTTAACGGTGTGTCGGTTTTTCAGAATAAAAAGTGGGCTGACAATACATGTCTGCAGCTGTTTACTGACGCAGCCAGCACTGTGGGGTTCGGCGCATACGATAACGGGAACTGGGCAAACGGGCTCTGGCCCCGTGAGTGGGTGGAGGACGGCTCGACTCGTGACATGACACTGCTGAAGTTGTTTCCGATTGTGCTGTCAGTTTGTCTGTGGGGGACAGTCTTTGCTAACAGGAAAGTACTTTTCTTTTGTGATAACCAAGCTGTAGTGTCAATAATAAATAAACAGTCTTCAAAGGCACCCAGAATCATGTCACTGATTAGGCAGCTAGTGCTGCAGTGCCTCAAACACAACATTTTGTTCAAGGCCAGATATATAACAACACACGACAATATTATCGCAGATGCACTGTCGAGATTTCAGTGGGAACGATTCCGCAATGCAGCTCCATCAGCCAATCTGCATCCCACACCACTTCCAGACAATCTCTGGCAGGGCTAACAATCGAGGCAGAGAGGCTCCTTCAGCGATCATTGGCGGCAAACACGTGGGCAACTTACCAGGCAGGAACCCAAGCGTTGCAAGCATTCAGGGCATCACAAAACCTGGGAGATGTCTGGCCGGTTCCAATAACTCATCTGGTACATTTTATTGCTCACCTGTCAGTGTCAGGACATGCACCGAGTACGGTAAGAACGTATATGGCCGGTATCTCAACGTACCATAGGCTACACAGCATGGAAGACCGCACAGGCCACTTTGTTATTACTAAAATGATTACGGGGATGCAAAAGTGTCAGGGGAGGCAGGATCACAGAAAACCAATAACAATAGACCTTCTCAAAGTAATTGTAAACAACCTGCAATTTGTCTGCTCTTCTACCTATGAAGTAAGATTGTTCAAAGCAGTATATTGCTTGGCCTTCTTTGGTTTCTTTCGGGTGAGTGAACTCGTGCAAACCAAACTTTCTCAGCCAGGGTGCGCTTTCTTGGACCTAGAAGTCCAAGACACGACTAAAACAGTAACAGTCGCTCTAAGGCATTCAAAAACGGACAGGCACTCACATGGCATAGTTGTTTCCATTTCCGCCATACCTGGCCACAATCTGTGTCCAGTGGCTGCAGTTAAAGCATACCTAACAGTTCGATCACAGGGTCAGACTCAAGCTTTCGTACACTTTGATAAATCTCCCCTGACCAGGTATCAATTTCAGGCCGTGCTAAAAAGAGCACTGGCGCATAGCGGCATCTGCACAGCAGCATACTCTTCGCATTCCTTCAGGATTGGCGCAGCAACGACAGCAGCCTGAAACGGAGTGAGTTCAGATTTGATACAGCACCTTGGTAGGTGGGGGTCAGAATGTTATAAAAGCTATATACGCATACCTGCAAACATTTAAATCGCCAACCATGCAAGAACAGTTTTCTTCCTATTGATTCAGGTTTTCAGTATGGTTGATTGGGTCCAGCTTCCTGACCCGGGCGAGAGAGCACCTACAGGACAGTGACTTCGGTATTCCAGGGGGATGTCTCTGGTTGGCAAGGGGCGTCATGAGGTGGGAAGAGCTGACCGAGCTAATAGATGCCCAGGTCAAAGCAATGCAGACACCACCAAAGGCGGTGGTGATTCACCTTGGTTCGAACGACCTGGGTAAGGTAACCACGTGTCAGCTATATCATGAGATCAAGCTGGCACTCCTGAGGATACACCTCCTCCTACCTGGTGCTGTCATTCTGTGGTCAGACATGCTGCCACGGAGGTACTGGCATGTAGCCAGCCGTGCCCGGGACCTGGACGGGGCCAGGCAGAAGCTGAACAGACGAGTGGGGAACAGGGCCCGTGAGCTTGGGGGGATACGGGTTCCCAACACAGTGTTCAACCAGCAGGAGCAGCAACTGTACCTGCGTGACGGGGTTCATTTGTCACCGGCCGGACTTGATCTTTACACACAAAACATTGGCAGCTCCCTTTCCGCAGCATGCTTGTAGGAAACATTTTCAGTATAGGATAACACGGTGGGTGTACATGAGCGCGAATGGTCGCGGTTGTGGGGAAGCACCTTGGTGCTTGTGGCGGGGTGCTGGTGGACTGCATTACAAGTTACATTTGGCGTCTTGGGATACATC